TCTGATATATAGGTCACAGATCTACAACTTGTCCCAGAGATGGCCCCCTTGGTTTCCCTTCTCTCTCCAAGCCCTCTTGACTCCCACCCCCCACTCTCCCCACATCCGATCTCCACTCTTATTACCCTCACCCACCCAGATCCCTCTCTTTATTCACTTCTGGTGTCTATTTTATTTCCCCTTCTAGGTGGGATTCAAGCATCCTCCCTTGGATACTCCTGGTTACTTAGCTTCTTTGGATATATAAATTGTAGTATGATTATCTTATACTATGTGGCTAATATCCACTTATAAATGAGTATATCCCATGTGTGTCTTTCTGGGTCTGGGTTACCTCACTCAGGATGATATTTTCTAGTTCCATCCATTTGCCTGCATATTTCATGATTTCCTTGTTTTTAAAAGCTGAGTAGTGTTTCATTGTGTAAATACATTTTTTTAAATCCATTCTTTGGCCGAGGGACATGTGGGTTGTTTCCAGTTTTTGGCTATTACAAATAATGCTGCTATGAAGATAATTGAGCAAGTGTCCTTCAAGTATACATTTTTAAGACAAAATATTGTTGCCCAAGGAATCCTGGAAGTTCTGGGCTCCACTGATACTTCTACATCAGTCTTCCAAGTAACCACCCTACCCAGCCAACTTTTTTTCAAAACATGGGCTAGTTGCTATCTCTTTTTCTGTTTTTATTTCCTTACATTCATTTTTATTTTATGTGTATTGGTTGCTTTGCCTGCCCTGGAACCGGGATTGCAGACAGTTGTGAGCTGCCATGTGGGTGCAGGGAATTGAACGGAGGCCTTTGGAAGAACAGACTGGTAACCACTGAGCCATCTCTCCAACTTGAGATGTTGCTCTATTAAGGCAAACCTTTCTCCATGCTCCCCCCAGTTAGACATTCACATTCTGGGACAAGTCACTCCATACTCAATGACTTGCAAAGAAGGGATTCCTTAAGCCACTAATAATAGTGTGTTCTTGTACTCAGTAGGCTTGGCTCTAGACCAATACTAGTTTTACTGGGAGGGATGATGGGAAACAATCCTTGTGGATTCCTAAAAAGCCACCAGCTCACTGGAGTTTCTCCCTACATGCCTAGGTCCAATTCACTGATGTTCTGACTGGCAGCTGAATGATGGCAACTATCCAGACACAGCAACAGTTCTCAGTGGCAGCCCAGATATCTACTGTTAGACCTCTACTCTGGAGATAGTCTTGTGGATGTAACCCTAACCCCACTCCAATCTGGACTTATTAAAGCATCAGAGACACAAAAGCAGAGAAATGACCACCATTGCTGTTTTTCACTGAGGTGCTAATGTATCAAAATACAAAAATCTTTTTTAGTCCAAGTAATGGGGGACATGGAGCCTGAACTGGCCATTTTCTATAACCAGGCAAGGATTCAAGTTGAAGGATTGGGACACCAACACAGCCATAAAACCTTCAACCTACAATTGTCCTGCCTGCAGAGTGTTCTCAGACCAGGGCCTAGCAGAATCATCATCAAAGAGAGCAGAGAGACTACATCCAGTAACTAACTGATGGGAGTACTGTGGAGGAGGAGGAAGAGGAGGTGGAGAAGGAAGAGAAAGGATCACAAAGAGAAATCAGAGGATTCAGGGACACCACAAGAACATAGCCACAGAATCTACTGACTGGGATTCATGGGGCCTCTCAGGGATTGGGGAGGTTGTAGGGGTCTGACCTAGGTCCTCTGCATATATGTTATGGCTAAGTAGCGTGGTGTTCTTGTGGGAGTCCTAACAGTGGGAGCCCAGGTTGTCTCTTGACTCTTTTGCCTACTTGTGGGACCCTTTTCCTCCTACTGGATTGCCTCATCCAGCCTTGATGTAATAGTAGGTGCCTGGTCTTATTGTAGCTTGTTATGCCATGTTTGGTTGATGTCCCTGGGAATCCTGTTCTTTTCTGAGGGAAGGCAGAGGTGAAGGTGGGGGTAGATTTTGGGGAAGAGGGGAGGTGAGAGGGAATGACTGGGGGAGGGGAGGAAGTGGAAAACTACAGTTGGGATGCAATATATGTGAGAAGGGGAAAAGAAAAAAAAATTTTAAAAATTATGAAGACAAAGCCAGGCAGTGGTGGCACACACATGTGGATTAAATAATCCCACATTCAAGAGTAAGAAGCAGGCAGGTCTCTGTGAGTTCAAGGCCAGCCTGATCTACAGAGGTAGTTCCAAGACTACATAAAAAAATCCTGTCTCAAAGGGGAATTAAAAAAAAAAAAAAGAGTAGAATGTCCCTTGTGGAGGTGTGGGGGCTGGGCACAGAAAATTAGGCATATCTTTGGAATTGCGGTACTGTGGCAAACCAGCAAAAAAGAGCCTAAGAATGTGACATAACTTCATAAGCTAGGTATCCAAGGAACAGAAGGTGTGCTGGCTAAATAGTTTTTCAATTGGACATAAACTAGAATCATCTGGGAAGAGAAAACCTTACCTGAGGGATAATCTCCATCAGATTGCTTGGTGGGCAAGTATCTACATATGATGTAGAAGGGCTTCACCTACTGCTGGCAATGCCACCCTTGGACAGATGATCCTGTGGAGTAAAAAATGGAACAAAGCCAGAAAACAGTCTGAGCAAGCCATGGGGACAGGCCAGTATCCCGCCTTGAGTTCCAACCCCCAGTCCCATTCCTGGTGGACTGTAAGGTAAAATTAACCCTTTTGGTCACAATGTTTATCACAGCAATAGGAAGCAAACTAATACAGAGAGGAACAAGGGACTAGCATTTCAAGGACACTAGAAATTTTCTAGTGCTGGTGCCATTCTTTATCATAGATGTTAATGATTGTTCCCTATAAACTGACCCTTGTAGGAACTAAAGAAGCATTTATATGTCCATGTACCAGGAATTAAGGAAGATAGGAACATCTGTTCCTTTCCCTGTTAATGTTCATCAGTCACTAAGGTCTCTGCTTTCTATTCTTGTTCATAGGTGATAAAACACAACAGAGGCAGAGGCAGATGGATCTCTGTGAGTTCGAGGCCAGCCTGATCTACAAAGCAAGTCCAGGACAGCCAAAGCTACACAGAAAAACCCTGTCTAGAAACAAACAAACAAAAATCAAGACTATTCCTGAGATAGGAATTAATTAAATTAAGATCTTTTAAACTCAGAAAAATTGTAGGAATTGTGGGAGAAAAAACAAGTATATTGTGGCCAGATAGTGGAAAGCTCAATGTGGGACTGGGTTGAGGCATCACTTTGAGGACGCAGCACATGTCATCAAAGGCCCTCCACCCTGAGGTATATTTTCTGTTGATAGAATAACATCTCTCACAAGAATCCGAACTTCTTTTCCAGAATCCCCAGAAAATTCCAGTGGCCAATACACTGGTCACTCTGAGCTGCAGAGGAGGCTGGGAAATTTGAATATACTATCTTCAGATTCTAAAGCAAGAAGCAGATGCTAACGATAGTTGGTATGCCTGATGGGTAAGCAGCAAGAATCTACCTATGACACAAATCAAGGGATGACCCCAAAACAATCTAACAATGCAGAAATTAAACACGCTCCACCTGTAATCCCAGAACTCTGGGAGGCAGAGGCAGGAGGGTCTCTTGTGAGTTCTAGACCAGCCTGGTCTACAAAGCAAGTCCAGGACGGCCAAGGCTACACAGAAAAACCCATTGTGTCCAATGCCTGTAATTCCAATACTGGTGAGGCTGGGGCAAGAGGATTGCCCCAAATTAGAGCCCAGCCAGAGCTACACAGAAATATATTGCCCAGGCCCCAATTTTATAAACAACCGAATTTAGAAAAATTCCCTTGGGCTGCAAAAGGACATGAAACTATGTACTGCCTCTTTTGTAGATTCCCCTGCCCCCTTTTGCTTTTATTTGTTGTCTGAGTGTCTGGTAGTGTCATTGTTTTTTAAGACAGTGTGTCACTATGTGGCTTGACCTGGCCTTGAATTGAAGCAATCCTCCTGCTTCAGCTTCTCAAGAACTAAGATTAAAATCATGCACCACCATGCATGGTACTTTTATAGTTCTGATTCCTTCATTTAGTGTTTGAGTATTCATTCTGGTCTTCATAAACAAGCATGTGTTCAAAATCTGTAAGCCATTCCTCTGGGATTAACAAAACAATATGGTGTTTTTAACTATTAAAAAGGCCAGTGAGATAGCTCAGTGGGTAAGCCTGGTGATCTAAGTTCAACCTCGGGAACCCACATAAAAAGAGAGGAGGAAGAGTGACTCCAGAAAGCTGCCCACTGATCTCTACACATGCACTGTTTTATTTGCATGTACACACATGGGGGGGGAGGAGCAGGGAATTATTAATTCCCCTGGGTATAGCTTTTGGGGGTGGGGTTGTTATTGTTTTGAGACACGGTCTCACTGTATAGCCAGCTCACCTGGAACTCACAGAGATCCACCTACCTATGCCTTCCAAATGCTAAGATTCAAGGCATGTGTCACCATACCCTTGATATAGCTTTATGTCTTAACCTTTCTTAGTATGTAAAAGTATCAATTCATTCTTTTTATTGCCATTCATGGTGTCTGCATGATTTATTTCATTGTTACCAAGAGTAATTTGGCCTCCTCTTCCCTGTGACTAAAGCTGGGTGTGGTGGCACATACTTTTAATATTGGAGCATTCACAAGGCAAAGGGGGCAAATCTCTCTGAATCTAAGGCCAGTCTGGTTTATATAGCAAACTCTAGGCCAGTCTAGGCTACAAAGAAAGACTGTGTCTCAAAAAACAAACAACCAAAAAGCCCAAACCAAACCAAAAATCCCATAACTAGATTCTGGAATGTTAGGAGACAAAATTAATTCCAACTTTTCCCTATTTCTTTGACAGCTGTGGTCTAAACAATTGTACAATTTCATACAAATATTTTGATTTAGAATAAGCTGAATAGAGGCATCTCATTTGCAGTACATTATCAACCCTTTCTCCAAGATGTACAAGCTGTGATCTCCCTAAACTAATGGACTCTTTTCATTACTTCTATTCATGTGGTTGCTTGCCAGCACAAATTCCCTGATGATTAATAGTGGGTAAGTGCCAAGGGATGGCTTTTCTACATTTGTTATGTTCACACGTTTCTCTATTATGCAGTCTCGGATGCTGAACAGTAGTTGAATCATGATTTATGCTCCTTCCATATCCCTTATACTTGTAGGGCTTTTCCTTGGAATGGACCACCTTGTGGTCCTTCTTACATTCGTATGGCTTCTCACTTGTATGAATTCTGCAATGTACTGTGAGGTGTGAGACCCACTTGAAGGCCCTACTGCAAACCTTACACTGGTAGGTTTTCTCTCCAGTGTGAATTCTCTGATGTTGCTTAAGCTGTGTGTTCACTCTAAAGGTCTTGCTACATGCCTTACATCCATAGGGTTTCTCCCTAGTATGAATTCTCTGATGTCGGATAAGACTGGATCCTTGGTTAAAAGCCTTCCCACAGTCTTTACACTCAAAGAGTTTCTTGCCAGTATGAACAGTCTGATGCTGAATCAACTGAGACCTATGGCTAAAGGTTTTCCCACACTCCTTACATGCATAGGGCTTCTCACCAGTATGAAGTCTGTGATGTACCCTAAGATGTGAGATCCGATTGAAGGCTTTGCCACATTCCTTACATTGATAGGGTTTCTCCCCAGTATGGATTCACTGATGCTCAATCAACCGTGAGCTTCGACTGAAGGCTTTAGCACAATCTTTACATTCATAAGGTTTCTCCCCTGTATGAACTCTCTGGTGTTGTATGAAATTTGAACCAGAATTGAAGGCCTTCCCACATTCTTTACATTCATAAGGCTTTTTGCCAGAATGAATATTCTCATGCTGGATTAGTCGTGAACCATATTTAAAGGTCTTCCCACATTCCCTACATTTGTAGGGTTTCTCATTAGTATGAATTCCTTGGTTAATAAAGAACTGCTCTTCCCAAAAGTCTTTTTTGCATTTTTTATATCTACAGGACTTTGTCTGGTAAAAAGTAAGAGATGCTTGCTGGTTTAATCCAGGTATTTCTTCATGACTGATTAACAGTGGACTGGCATTTCTGTCTGGACTTCCTGGTTGTCTGTTAAACAGGCTGTTGCCTTCCCAGTCATCTGGGAGACTTGAGCTCTCAAGGCTGAAGCTTGTAAGGCTTTCTGTTTTCTCCCAGTGTGGCAATTCCACTTCATGAATTTGTTGACTTGAGGACATTATTTTGGTACCATATCCAGATTCCAGTGCTGAAAAGGAAGAGAAGGAGAAATTGGTTCTTTTTCTTTTTCCAGAAAGAGAAACTGCAGTGAAAGCTGAAAGGTTCTCGGGAGGGTCACCAGTGAGAAACAAAGGCCTCTGCTTGCTCCTCCTCCCTGTCACTGCTCAGCATCCTTGTCAGGTTCCCAGCTTGGTGGTGTGGGTCACATACAAGTGTCCCATGATGACAGCTGGAAAGGCAGGAACTATATGACATATGACTGCTTGGGGGAAGATCTTCTTTCCTACTGTCTAGCCAATCTGAAGGGGAGCATGGAGAATCATTTCTGTGTTTGTGTGCAACCTGCCTGACCAAGTATAGCTAAGATTAGCCTTGGAAACTCCTTGATATTTATTAGATTCTAATTTGTGTGGAAGGCCCAGTACCTACAATTACCATGATCTCTTGGTTGTTCTGTTCATGGCTTTTATTCACTGTGACTAATGAGCTTTCTAATAAATCCTTGCCAGAGTTTAGTATATATGTATTTATATTTATATACTAGAATGTTCAGCACCTATACACTCCTGAATATGGCTAAGCAATTCTAAATTAGGCAAGTAGAATGGAGGAGGCAATATTAGAAATAAAAAGGAGAAAACAGAGTGTTATACTAGTTCTAAAATATCAGTGTAACTCTAAGTCAACTCTGAACCATGCTTAGAAATATACCAGTAGATTATATAACAGCCATTCTCAACCTGTGGGTTGCAACCCCTTGGGGTCAAATGGCCCTTTGACAGGGGTCACCGAAGACCATCGGAAAACAGATATTTACATTAGGATTCATGATAGTAGCAAAGTCACAGTTATGAAGTAGCAATGAAAATGATTTTATGGTTGGGGGTCACTACAACATGAGGAACTGTGTTAAAGGGTCACAGCATTAGGAAGGTTAAGAACCACTGAAGTTCTGTTGGAAACAGAAATATAATCAAGAATGACTAATGTAAATGGCTAACTGAGACTTCAGGGGTTCTGCAAGAAGTGGTACAAGGATATGTTCTATCTTGAGTTGGAGATGGTAACACAGGTGTACAAACATACCAACATCTATCAATACTGCACTTAAAAGGTGTACATTTTATAATATGTAAATTATACTCTTGTAGAACACATCTACAAAAATCATAAGGATTCTGCTGGATGCTCTGAAGTTGTATCAGGTGATGGCTGTCAAGACAATGTGATTGTTCTTAATATTGCTGAACTGTATGCTTAAAATAACCATTAAGATGGTAACTTTTGTTACCATCTTAAAGTTTTTACCATAACTTCAAAATGAAGTGACAGAAAAGGTGTGTGGCTGGATCTTAATCCTGCCTCAACACTTAAGACCATGTGTGGGAGAAAAAAAAAATAAACCAAAGGGCACATTGACATATCTGTCTTCCAGGACATGGCAACACCACAGCAGCTATCCTTAGGCACATGGGGTTACCACCTTCTCCTGTGGTTTCCTCTATCTGAAATTTAACTAATCACCGTGGCTACTGTCAACTCTGGAGTAGCTTCCCATTGCTTACAAGGAATGGTGGGAAAAAGAATGACCTGTGACTTGTTTAGAGTGCTGGGAGTGAGACTCCTTCTACAGAAACATGTTTTGATCTTATTCGGATTATAAGAAAAAAGCTTCCTGGGGCGCAGCCAAGGTAGCTCAGTGGGTAAATGCACTTGCCACAAAAGCCTGATGATCTGAGTTCAATTCCAGGACCCACAAAAGGTCAGATGCACTGGGGTAACCCCAGCATTCCTACAGTTAATTGAGGCAAAGATAATGGAATCACTTGGAAACTCCTGGGACTATACTAGATCATGCACTGTGGCTCAAACAAGAGACTTGTGTGGATTGTATGGAAGCATCACCTGTCAATAAAAATCTGACAGTCTATTAGCTGAGGCAAGAAATAGGGGGTGGGAGTTCCAGGAGAAACAGATGAACTCTGGGATAAAAACAGAGGCAGAAGATTGACCAGGGACTCTGAAGAAGATGGAGGCATGAAACTGAGGTGAGGTAATAAGACATGTGGTATACACAAAATAGAATAAATGGACAAAATAACTTATGAGCTAGTCCGGAAATGAGCCAAAACTTATAGCCTAGGCTTTTTTCATAAATAATAAAGTTGTTATTTATTCTCAGAGTTGTTATTTCAGGAATTGGGACATAGGAGGAAAACCTGTGGTTACAAAGGTTACAAAACTCTGCCTCAGTAAGGTGAGAGATCTACTCCCAAAAGTTATCCTTTGACCTCCACACAACTGCCTCAGCATGCATGTACTAGCATATACACACACACTAAATGAAAATGACTTTTAAAGGCTCCCAGTATATTTCATCCAATTCTACCTGGCACACGACATCAGTCACAGTGACAAGCTAAACTGTGATCATAGCAACTGACCTCACTGAATAAGACTCATTTATAGTTTGATGCAAGGAACCATGGGTGAAAGTGACAACAGCTTCTGAATATGCTCATGAAGTTCATGAAGCAGATGACCCCAGAGGACTGCATAGACACAGCAGCCCCGCAGTTTCAGTCACTCTCTTTGTGGATGTACTGGGCGTAACTATAGGAGTATAAGATGCTTCTAGAGTAGACCATAAGAAATGCTGTCAAGGAGGCATCAGATTCTGTGAGAAGACTGTCATACATGACTGCCACATGTATACCACAAACATAATCAGTTCCACACTAAGCAATGTGAAAAGGTCACAAAGTAAAGATATGTACTTTTCAAGTGCCACTTGATTGAGAGCAATGTGATAGGTGTCCACTGTGGCATAACCACCTGGTGAGACAGGCTCCAAATATTAGGATGCCCGCTTACACACTGACCCACTCAAAGCTTGGGCAGCTGGCTATCACCTTACAAAGGAAAGGGGCTAAAAGTACAGCTGGCCAAAGATCTTAAACTACTTGCCTAATGGAAGGAGACTTTGAGAACAGCTATCTATGCCTACATGGACACAGCTGCAGGAACTACAGTGACCACATAGTGCTTGTTCTCTTCTGGCCATGTGGAAAAAATACTTCGGCTACTTCTAAAGCTCACGCCTTTAATCCTAGCACTTGGGAGGCAGAGGCAGATGGATCTCTGAGTTCAAGGCCAGCCTGGTCTACAGAGCAAGTTCCAGGACAGCCAGGACTATACAGAGAAATCTTGTCTTAAAAAGCCTTTAAAAGTGCTCCTTTCTCCAATTTGCCATTTCCTCTATTGTATCTACCTCACATGACTGAGTTTTGTGGGTTTATTCCAGGGGCACTTTTCCACAATTCTAAGTAAGGACATCCCTAATTCTATACCATATAAAACTATCCAAAGAGCGCCATACTAGGAATCTCTAATTCTGCTTAACTTATAAAGCTACAAAATGGCAACCAATACTGAAGTGTTCTAAGTTTCTAGTTCCTGACAAGGTTTGGTACTCCTCACCTGAACACAGCCCTCCTGCTGTAGCCCTTTCCTCTATCCGCGGCTCTTTTCCTTGCTCTAGGATGGATATCACATCAGGTTTGGATATGGCAAGACCTGGAGAAGAGAAGAAAAAAAAAAAAAAAAAAACCTCATGGTCATATTGAGAGTCCTTGGAATTCTGATCCAGGGCTCTGTCACTGAGCAAGGTGACAACTATAGAAAGGGCCAAAAGAAAATGTAATGGTAGCCCAAGAGTAGTGGAAGACATGACTTCAAGCAATTGGCGGTGTTTTGTACATGTAAAAGTGACAGTTAATGGGACGGAAAAGTACTCATCACTGACCAGAAAGGGGCATGCCCAGAGTAAGATCCAGACTAACAGAGCAGACCACTTTACCCAGTGAGATTAGGTGGCTGTAGTTCTCCAGCATCACATCTCTGTACAAGACCCTTTGACCAGGCCCGAGGTACTCCCATTCTTCTTGGGAGAAAATTATGGCCACATCCCTGAACAGGTCTGAACCCTAAAACAAGAAGTATGAACGGTATGTGAATATTTCACTTAAGGGAATGTTTCACAGTGGGAGGAAAGGAACTGAAGGAGATATCTGTAGAGAGGGCTGGTTCTAGTGGGCATACAAAAGCTGGGGCTGGTTGTCAACAAGACATGAGCACAAGGGAAACAGTGTTAATATATTTTCATACACTCCACCTTGCTGCAGACCAACACATCTGTGTATATGTCTGGGATGAAAATTAAAATCTCAGGAAAGTTTTCCTCACTAACAGCAGAAGGCATAAATTCTCAATTCAGGTAGGAAGTGTCATTTTATTTTTTTAGAATAACAAAGATATTTGATGAACTTTTCCCTAATTTTGTTTTGTTTTTTGAGACAGGGTTTCTCTGTGTAGCCTTGGCTGTCCTGGACTCGCTTTGTAAACTAGACTGGCCTCGAACTCAGAGATCCTCTTGCCTCTGCCTCCCTGAGTGCTGGGATTACAGGCTTGTGACACTGCACTCAGCTTCCCTAAATATTTTAAGAAAAAAATTAAAAAACAATTGTATAAGGCTGGGGAGATAGCTCAGCAGTTAATGGCACTGGCTGTTCTTCCAAGGACCCAGGTTCAATTTCCAGCACCCACATGGCAGCACAACTGACTATAACTCAGGATCTGTCACCTGCAAACAGACATACATGCAGACAAAATACCAATATACATAAAATAAATAAATTACTAAAAATATTTTTAAAGAAAAAATGTTTACAAAAAACATTGTGTAGTACTGGAGAGACGGCTTAGTTGAAAACACTGACTGCTCTTCCAGAAAACCCAGATTCAATTCCCAGCACCTACATGGCAGCTCAAAACTGTAACTCCAATTCTAGAGGATTCAATACCCCTATAAAGACACACATGAAGGCAAAACACCAATGCAAGTAAATTAAAAATAAATTCAAAAAAATTTATACCCACCAAGGTACCACATGCCTACAATGGCTCACTGCAGAAGCCAGAGCAAGTGTATCCCTGTGAGTTTGAGGCCAGCCTGAGCTACACACTGAGTTCCAGGACAGCTAATGCCACAGAGGAAGGCCTTGTCTCGAAGAAATAGTGTGTATCTTAGGGGGAGGAACTTCATCTAAGTCAAGAGTTTGTTGCCAAGTTCAGTTAACCATTATGTCAGAACGCAGCACAAACATTTTCTTCATGAGACAAACCATGAATGAAGAATATTTTTACTGACTGTACAATTTCCTAACTGAAGAGAATAACTAAAACATGATCATATTTTGAAACCAGAGCATGGATCCAATCTCTAAAACTCTTCCAACCTCTGAGAATGCACCTATCAACTCATCAGACTGAGAATCTCACTTGCTATTCCCATGATTCTCAGCTCTGTATCTCTCTTGTGCTAAAGCTGAAAGAGCTAATGGAAAAAGATACAAATTTTTGGTGTGGTGAGTTGAAAGAAAATGGTCCCTATAGGCCCATAGGAGTAGGTGTGGCTTTGTTGGAGATGGTGGGCTTCCAGGTCTCAGAAGCTTAAGCCAATTCACTTCCTGTTGCCTAAGGATCAAGAGAAGGACTCCCTCTCCAGCACCACGTCTGCCTGAACATCACTCATCATGCTTCCTGCTATGAAGATAATGTAACCTCCAGAACTGTAAACCAGCCCCAATTAAATGTCTTCCTTTATAAGAGTTGCTGAGGTCATGGTGTCCCTTCATAGCAATAAAACCCTAAGATACTTGGTATAACCTCAAATCAGATCTTACTCTGCCATCTAATCTTTGGTACCCCAGTTGGGCCTCTATTATACCCAAACATCAATCTCTTCCAAGGCAGGGCAATAACCCACGGCTCCCCATTTTACTTTGTGATCACTCTCTCCTTTCAAATCTTAGTTCTTATAAGGATGCTCCCATTTTATGTGGGAAAATGGAGGTCTGCTCACAAAATCCCACTACAGAATTAATGAATCACATTTGTCAAAGAAGATGAAGCAACAAGAAAGGGCCTAGCTGACCATCTCTTTTGCACCGTAGAACAGATCTCAGGGGACCAGATTAACATGTGGAATCTGGCCGGGAAGTTTCAGGATAACAAATATTTACATGATTTTAAAACTTACAGGGGGCATGCCTTTCAGGAGTTCAAGGGCTGATGGGTCTTTCTCCAGGTTTCTCTCTTGGGAAATGACAGAGTCCTTAGATGTCAGAGCTGAGGGAGGAAAGAGCAAACATGAAAGTCTAAGTTTGCCTCGAAGCTCCCTGAATGCCAGAGTTGTTTCTCCACCTGTTTTTCTTTAACTGTTAGGATGAGCTGTCATCCACCACCAGGAAGCCTACCTTAGCTGCTGCTAAACAGGTAGAGAATACATGGCCCTTTCTCTCCTTCTTCCATTAAATACTGCAAGGAGTCCTCAGACCTGTTCTAGTGCTGGAGACCCATACGGTACTCAAAGGACAAGGAAAGTTCTCCTCAGCCAGCGAGGAAGGAAAATTTGCACAAAGTGTATAACCCTGAACCCAAAATGAAGCATTCACAGGACTCAGCCATTTAATTCTCCCATACATCAAATGGAACCACTCTGGACTCAACCTGGCTGTGTCTCCAACTTCCAAATTCAAAAAGCACTCTGTAGTGCAAACTGGGCCTACCCTGAGTCAAGAAACAGCGTAAAGCTGCAGAGGCATTCAGACAATTACATGGAACAGGACCAGTATTTCATAATCAGTACATAAATGTGCCCTTTCAGACACAGAGCAGTGTACAAAGCTATACATATAATCATATCTGTTGAAGAAAAAAGAATCCCACAAAATTAGTACATATATAGGTAAGTCCACAAGTAGGTAAGTGTGGAATCATTTTTGGCATAGCCATAATAGAATACGACACCCAAAGATCAAACTTGATTTTGAAGGACAAGAGATGGCTCAGTAGTTAAGAATACTTGCTACTCCGACAAAGGACTTGGGTTCAGTTCCCACTACCCACATCAGGCAGTTCACAACTGCCTATAACTCCAGAAGATCCCACACCGTCTTCTAAAGATTTCAAGCAACTGTACTAATATCTCTACCAGTTCAAGGTCAGATGGTTCTAGAATGGTTCCAGAACTGCCAGGGCTTACACAGAGAGACCCTGTCTTAAAAATAAACCACATCAAATAAATGATAGATAAATAAACATCAGTTATCAAGGAAAGTTATTCACAATTAGCACAACTAGATCCTTCGCACAATTATAAGAACATTCAGCAAAAAGAAATCAAAGAACCATGCTATTGATGAATGGGTTCAAAACATAACAAAACAAAGCAGTGGGATAAAAAAACAAAAAAAAACAAAAAAAACAACAACAACAAAAAAAAAATCCTAGGTGGCCAATGAAGTTTTTTAGTGGGTAAAGGTGCTTGCTGTGAAGTGTAACAACCTGACTATAATTCCCCATAACCCACAGGGTGGAAGGATAGAACACACTCCTACAAGTTGTCCTCTGACCTCCACTTGGGTGTTCATGGCACAGAATGTCTCCCCCCCAAAACAAAACAACAAAAAATCCAAGGTTTTGTACTGTTGTCATTTAACCACTTCTTGAGATCATTAAACAAATGCTTCCTTGTAAAGAGTCATAAAAGAACACCAGTCATGGGGGTGGGGTGGGGGTGGGGCTGGAGAGATGGCTGAAGAGCTCTGGCTGCTCTTCCAAAGGTCCTGACTTCAATTCCCAGCAACCACATGGTGGCTAATTACCATATAGTGAGCTCTGGTGTCCTCTTTTGGCCTGAAGGCACACAGGCAGACAGAAATAAATAAAAAATCTTGAAAAAGAAAAAAAAAAGTCACATTAAAAATATTTCTAATTTGTAAGTGAAATACTTAGGAAAGTTACGTAGAGTGATGTAATTGGCAGTGTTCCCTTATTAGAAGCATCATCACATCACGTATAGCCTGAGACCCACTCAACAGTTTTCTCACTGTTGGACAGTGAATCAAAAACAAGATCACTTAGATGTTCCTAAACTAGTAGTGATATAGTTTTAAATGTTTTGGGGTCTTGCAATATATGTAATATAAAACAAGCGCTCCTTTTAAAAGGCTATACTCAGTACTTGGGTATGTCACGCTTTTCTAAGCTCCTATTAAGCCCTGTACTCTAAACCTTTTAAAAATGGAGGAGCTGCACGGCCAATCTTTGGGCAGAGTGCAGGGAATCAATCATATGAATAAGAGAGAGTTAGTAAGACCTAGAGAGAACTGGAGCTCCACAAGGACCAAATATATCTGGGCACAAGGGCTTGTTTGAGTCTGATTCTCCAACCAGGGACCATGCATGGATATAACCTAGAACCCCTGCTCAGACGTAGCCCATGGCAGCTCAGTAGCTAAGTGGGTGTCCTAGTAAGGGGAACAGGGACTGTCTCTGGCCTGAATTCTGTGGCTATCTCTTGGACCTCCGCACCCTCTGTGGGAGGAGCAGCCTAGCTAGGCTACAGAGTAAGACATTGCAGCCTGTCTTGGTGAGACCTGATAAGCAAGGGTCAGATGGAAGGGGAGGAGGTCCTCCCCTACCAGAGGACTTAAAGAGGGGCAGGGAGGAGATGAGGGAGGGAGGTTGCGAGGGAGGGAGGTTGCGAGGGAGGGAGGGAGGGAAGGAATGAGGGAGGGGGCTACAGCTGGGATACAAAGTAAAAAAAAAAAAACAAAACTGTAATTAATATATTTTAAAAAATGGAGAAGCTGAATAGATGACTCAGCAGTTAAGAGAGCTTGCTGCCCTTTCGGAGACCCAGGTTGGAGTCTCAGAACACACATGGCGACGACGAAGATCCAATACCCTCTTCTGGCCTCTATGCACAATGCATGCATACAAACCCCACACAGTCATACAAATAAATCCTTTTTAGAAATTACTTTACTGTTTTAAATGTATCTTAACTCCAGCTCTGTTTAATATGTTATATAATAGGACTTCGTCTCAGAATAAAGAAACACAAACATAGTGCTGAACGCAAAACACCCCTCCGAGTTCTACAAGGTTAGCTGAGAAATTGGGCACGGGAAGAAGTACCTACAGCGCTCAAGCCGCGGAGGATAATGGGAAATGTAGTCCAAGACCGGGACGCCCATGAAAAAACGTTGGGGGCAGGCATCGCAATTATTCTGAAGGCTGAAACTCTTGGTCCGTGGTGCCTATTCCCATACTCTCCGCAGAGCTTCCGGATAGCTTCAGATTCTTCACGTTTCCTCCTTGGTCCAGCTGCCTACTGCCCACAGCCAGAGTACCACCTCAATACCAGCGGACACGCTGCCCACTGCCAGAAGATGACGCAAGCGCAGAGGTGTTGCTGGTGCTGCTGCATGAGCGTGCTAACGTCGCAGTCCTTTCTGGGAAATGTAGTCTCAAGGCAAGCCGACAGCAGCCAAGCGGGAGGAGCAGGTGTCCTCATCTTTTGTGAGCCTTGAGGGGCTCTTGAGAGGTGGAACGGTGTTCGAATCCTGTAGATTTTTTTTTTAATTCACGCGTGATTCCCTTCTAGCTATGAGTGCGTGGCCATGGCTGTGTATGCAATAATTTTTGAGACCATGAGTAGTGTTTGATTTTAATCCTGTATGGCTAGTTGAGTATGGGACTGGGATCGGTTAATCGTGGATGCACACTTGTGGAAAGGTAACTGAAAAGTTTCCCATTTATAGAAGACCGGCAGCTAACATTTTACTTAATTAGAAACACACACACAACAAACAACTGAACAAAACCGTGATTGTTTTACACCTAAGATTGAAGCAAGGTAATTTACAGATCAGAAGCTAAGAAATAAAAAATTTCTTTTTGCAGACGATATAAGTAGCCAAATGGAAAAATCTCAAGATACCTGGACTGAAGAAATGGCTTAGTGTTTAAGAACACTTGCTGCTGCTCTTGCAGAGGACTCCAGTTTGACTAACACCACCACAGTGGGAGACTTACAACAGCCTGTAACTCCAGCTACAGAAAACCCGATGTCCCCTCATGGTCTTCTGGAACACCCATGTACTGTGAGGCCCTGAAAGTCTAAAGTCTTAAATTCCCAGGACAATGTGACTAGTGTCCTGAGAGCAAGGTCATAGGCAAAGAACCAGACAAGATAAAGCAGACCCACCCAAGGACAGAGAGATCCAAACTGCCTTCCTTCCAGACTTAAGAAACACTATTGCTTAGTAACTAGACCACATATTCAGCAGTCCCCTACCCAGATAAATCGCAGGGTGAGACTGGAGTCATGTAGCCTTGCCCCTAAGAAAACTCACAGGATGGCTACAGCCTAATCTGCAGGTAACAGGACACTCCAGTTATTACTCAAGGTCAGATGACCCCCAAGTAGCCAGGCCTGACCGTTTGCAGGTTTGGTGCCTAAAACAGACCAATCATTTTAAAGGTCAGCTTCCCTAAAGACCCTCTTACCCAATCCTATAACGCCAAGGCTTGTACTTTCCCTTTAAAAACCCTGTCCTCCAAGAGCAAGGGGTTGCTTGCCTCTTTGTTCCTGACGGTGGCTTGTGACCCAGGCTCGAGCTTTTAATAAAAACCCTCGAGTGTTTTGCAATGGAGTCAACTCCTGGTGATCTTTCGGGGGACTCGGGAATTGAGTATTTTAGTATATGTACATAAGCACTTATACATATAAATGAAAATTTTTACTTGAAAAATAAAATCTCAAGAAAAACTGAAACATGCAAATGTTCCTAGAATTAATACATGAGACTAGCAAGTTGTCATTATATAAGTTCATCAAAAATTGATCCCATTTCTCTGCATTCTATATGACCATGTGGAATGTGAAGTTTCAAAATACTGTTTATGTTTACCCAAATAAAGCATTAATGAAACACACCTGTAACCTCAGCATTTGGAAGGTGGAAGGAGGAAGATTACACAAGGAAAAAAGCAAGACCTTACCTCAAAACACAAGAGTTGGAATGTATCTCAGTGGCGAAGAGATTCCCTAACTTGTGAAAGGCCTTTGCTATACCCCAGTACCGAAAACAACCAAGCACCAACCACACATGATTATATGCATATAATCAGGAAAAACACTCAAATCTTAAAACAAACAAACAAACAAACTGTGGTGGTTTGAGTAAGAATGAGCTCTGTAGGCTCTTATATTTGAATGCTTGGTCATTAGGGAGTGGCTCTACTTGAGAGGTATTAGGTGGTGTGGCCTTGTTGAAAGAAGTGTGTCACTGGGGGGGGGGGGGAACTTTGGGATTTCAAAAGCTCAAACCAGGCCCAGAGTCTCTCTTTCTTCTTGCTGTCTGCAGATCCAGATGTAGAGCTCTCAGCTCCTTCTTCAGCACTCCTGCCTGCTGCCATGTTCCTTGTCAGGGTGACAATGGACTAAACCTCTGAACCTGTAAGCCATCCTCAAGAAATGCTTTCCTTTTTAAGAATTGCCATGGTCATGGTGTCCCTTTACAGCAATAGAACACTAAGACAATATTTTATTTTATGTGTGCGAGCCTAGATGTGTTTACCTGCACTCCATGCTTGCAGTGCCAACAAAGTCCAGAAGAGGGCACAGATGACCTGGAATTGGAGTTAAAAGCAGTCATGAACCACCATATGGGTGCTGGAAACTAAACCCAGGTCCTTTGCAAGAACAGTAAGTGTTCTTAACCACTCCAACCCCAAAGTAAAAATAATAAAATAGTAAAAGTTATGCAGTTTTGTTGTTGTTTGTTTTGTTTTGTGAGGGTTAGGTTTTGTTTTGATCTGGTTTTTGGTCTTGTTGGTGGTGGTTTTGGGTTTTTTGAGGCACTGTTTTTCTGTGTAGCTCCTGGCTGTCCAGGAACTCACTCTGACAAGTCTGGCCTCAGACTCAGAGATTCACCTACCTCTGCCTTCCTACTGCTGGGATTAAAGGTGTGCACCACCACCACCTGGGTAAGTTACACTGTTTTAAATAGGGGTACTGCTACCTAGCTGAACATTTTCTACATTTTAGACATATAGTTCCTGTTTACTTTATTACAGTTTTTGTTAAAATATTTGTGAATATAATTGCATTTTCCCTCAATGTCAAACTTCCCCTCATATAATGCCTGCCATTTTCCGTAGTAACTTCAGTGAAACAATTTAAATTGAAACATTGAAGTATAACCAAATTCAGAAGAAAAAAGAGATGAATGAGATATTAGCAGTATTTTTTACTAGAGATAAAAGTTAGTAAAATATTTTCAAAGGAAAGTTGACTACCTATAACATGGTATAACTGAAAACTCTTGTTGGATGTTTTGTTTTTTGAGTCAAGATCTATGTGAGGTAAGAGTAGGGTAAGAGCCTGGGCCTTGAAAGCCCTAACAGTCTGTGCTCACCTTCCTCAATAAGCCAACTAAAGAAATAATAGTGAAAGGCAGAAAAAGAGGATTTATTTAACATGGCAGTGTTGGAAAGATAAATAAAGACGTCCAGTGACCCAACACATCCCCTGTCCTTAGGTCCATTTTCTGAGTCCTGACAAAGGTTTAGGTTTAGGTTCCTTGTCTGGCTGTGTCTTAGTTTAGGTTTTATTGCTGTGAAGAGACATCATGACCATGCAACTCTTATAAAGGAAAGCATTTAATTGGGTCTGGCTGACAGTTTCAGATGTTTAGTCCACTATCATCATTGTGGGAAACATGGCAGCAGGCAGGCAGACATGGTGCTGGAGAAGGAGCTGAAAGTTCTACATCTTGATCCACAGGCAGCAGAAGGAGACTGTGACACACTGGGTGTAGCTTGAGCATACATGAGACCTCAAAGCCCAACAGTGACACAGTTCCTCTAACAGAGCCACACCCCTAATAGTGCCATCTCTATGGACCAAACACTTATATTATATACATTATCCTATTCAAACCAACACAGGCTGTTATCAGGCTTCAGGCTTTTCCTTCTCCCAGCATATGATTCCTGAAGAAATTTCAACTTATTGGATGCAATAGTCTGATAGCTTAAAAGAGTGATTCCAGTGGCTGTTTAGAAAACAGTGATTCTCAACCTGTAGGTCAAGACCCTTTGGAGGTTGAACGACCTTTTCACAGGGTTCACCTAAGGCCACTTGAAATGTCAGATACTTACAAGTCATAACAGCTATGAAGGAGCAACAAAAATAATTTTATGGTTGGGGTCACCATATAATATGTATTAAAGGGTTGCTGCATTAAGAAGGTTAAGAGCCACTGATTTAGAACATTCTTCTTCTACTGCCCAGGTTGATCTCCAAGTCTTTTTTTGTTTGTTTGCTCTTTGAGACAAGTCTCCCTATGTTGCTCTGGCTGTTCTGGTACTAGCTCTGTAGACCAGGCTGCCTTCGAACTCACTGAGATCTGCTTGTCTCTGCCTCCCAAGTGCTGGGATGAAAGGCATGCAGCATTACACCTGGTTTGAATCTCCAAATATTTAATCCTCCTTTTTTCCCACACAAAAAAAATTCTGCTGGAATTAGACGTGGGCTACCATACCTGGCTTAATCTTAATACTTTATTAAAAGTTATAAATTTCCTATATGTCAGTATCATTTTTAAAATTTAATTCCCCCTCCCTTCCTTTTTCTGACAGTACTTTTTTCCCAGGCTGACTTAACCTAGGTCCTCTACCACTGGATTACAACCCTAGTCCACTTCCTTTCCAGTATATGTTCCACAAGGGTAAGGATTTTGGTCAGGGGCTTCACCGCTGCCTAATAAGTGATCCTTGAAAGGGTAAGGTAGAGAGATGAAACAAACAAGAAAGGAAGCCAGCAAAGAGGCCACCGCCTCCATCCGTGGCTCCGGACAGGACACCCGCCAGCCAGCACTGCGCATGAGTAGTAGCTCCGCCCCCCTACCCCCGGTCTAAGAGACCCCAGCCCAGGAAGCTGGGCCTGCGCAGCCTGAGTAGATTCTGGTTCTGAAGGCCTGAAGGGAAGGTACAGAATCCAGCTAGACTCTAGGACCGCGAAAGCCGCGCCCTAAAGGGCATTCCCAGCACGCCCTGCGCCGCTCCGGTAAGCGCTGGACTCCACCTCCCAGAGGACCCTGCGCGGAGCCGCTCCGCAGCCGCGCCTTTGTGAGCTCTTTCGTTGCCACGAGATCGAGCCCCGGGCCCGGCCCAACCTGCCTCCGCGCCGAGTGAGGGGTGAAGAGGACCGAGGAAACGCTCGGTGAGGAGCGGGGCATCGTGTAGGAAAATGTGTGGTGGGATCTGAGTGGTCACGCGAGACCACGCCACCGTGTATGAGGGGCCTGTGAGTGTAAGGCTGCAACTGCGTGAGACTTGAGGTGGTGACAGTGTCTGAGACAGCACCCCATACATGGGGGCCTGTGACTATGAGACTGAATACAGTATGAAACTGAGAGAGGCCTGTGCCAGCATGTGATAGCACTGGGGGATGTGTGGGAGAGTGTGTGGGGACCAGAGTGGCCGTTGACTGCACCACCTTGTCTGAAGAACCTGTGATTGAGCCTGTGAGCGAAGTAGTGACACGACTATGCATGAGGGGACCTGTGACTGAGTACTCTGAAAGATGCTGAGACAAGGTGTGTGACAGAACGCAGGTGGGGGTAGGGCGTGGGGAGGGATACCAGACAGGACAGGCGACTGAGTGACATTTTTAGACCAGACTGTGTATAAAGGGATTGTTGTAAGACTGCATACCATGTAAGAATGAAAGGCTGTGACAACTGGGTGACTGCACATGGTGGGGTAGATTATATGTGAGGACATTGGGGCAGGGATCTGAGTGACAGTGTCAGACCACACCATCGTAGAGGAGGGACCTGTGACTGTGAGACTGTGTACTGTATGAGACAGAGGCTGTGACAGTGTGTCGACAGCATGTGAGACCATGCGGGAGAATGTGTTTGGAGACCCTCGCGGCAGGGTTGAGATCAAGCCACTTTGTTGAGGAAGCCTGGGGCTGAATACTTTTTGAAACTGTGACAATGTTTTCGAAAGTGCAGGGCTACACTAAGTGTTGATGGCTCCTGTGACTATGGGGCTATGAATACTGGGTGAGACAGGCTGTAGCAACTTGTACGATGGTACAAGACTGTCCCAGCAGTGCTGAGGGCCCGTGACAATTTGTGAGACTGAATCCTGGCTATGACCTAGATAGAGGCTGTGTGTCAGTGTAAGACCATGTCACAGTGTTAAAGGTCATGTGATGACAGAGTATGCAAGACCGTGGGACTGGGGGAGACAATACTTTGTGTGTGTGCCTTGTGACATGGCATGACCATGACACACACTGTGAGAATTGTATGTGAGTACACTACTCTATGTGAGCAGGCCTGTGAGAGTGAGGCTGTGTTTGGGACTAGGTGCTACTACTGCAGTGAAGCTTTTGCTACGAGGTGTGATGAAGCCTGTGAAAATATATGGGCCTAAGTGACAGTATACATGACTATGTCTTGTATACATACAAGACAGTGTAACTGTTTGAGACAGACAGTGCTGGACAATGTGTGACAGTATGAGATGTCATGAGGAGAGCTGTGAGTCTTTGTGATTGTATGAACAGATGTAGTGTAGTGAGTGAAGTAAGCATTCTAATATCTAGATATAGGACTTCTTCCTTTTCCTAACCCCCCACTCCACCCCCGAGACAGGGTTTCTCTGTGTAGCTGTCCTGGAACTCACACTGTGGACTGTGCTGGCCTCAAACTTACAGAGATCTGCCTACCTCTGCCTCTGAAGTTCTGGAATTAAAGGTGTGCTGCCTGCCACTGCCACCACCACCACCACCCAGCTATGTAGGACTTCTGAGTTATAATGCTTAAATGATTTATTATTCTTCAAGGCAGAGAAGCTTAGTAGAATTGATTAAAACAATGACTAACTACATTTCCCTTCTCTTCCCTTTCGGAGAGAGTTGCTTTCAGGAACAGTTCATTAGTACAGCTCCCTGACTGTTGTCCAGTAGACAGGCTTTGAGAGTCTTTGAGAATGTATGCACGACTGTATGGGATTGGGGGAGACAGCACCTTGTGTGTGTGCCTTGTGACATGGTGGGACCATGATACACTGTGAGAATCATACGATTCTTCCAGATCACATGGTCCCTCTTGTGCCTACTCTGTACATATTTCCTTCACTTGATAGCCTATTTCTCATCCTTAGTGAAAGGGTGGGGACACACGTTCTTTTAACACCATCATCTGTACACTATAAATTAAAACATAGTTTCCACTTCAGCTCAGTTCTTTCCTCAGCTATTGCCTTGTATATCTTCAATGATAAGAACCTTCATGTGTAAAAGGGTGACAGTTCTCATCTGATAATGCCATTCTGTAATTGCTCATATTATTTATAATTGTAAGTGAAAGGGACAACTTAGACATAAAGTATATGTTAAGTTCAGGAGCTATTAAAGTACATAGGAAAAAGAATTGGTAAGTTTAATTTATTATTATTTTATGTGTATTGGTGTTTTGCCTGCATATATGTTTGTGTGAGGGTACGGATCACCTACAACTGGAGTTACAAACAGTTGTAAGCTCTCCTATGGGTGCTGGGAATTGAACCTTGGTTCTCTGGATGAGACCTTTGAGCCATCTTACTAGCCCATTGTACTTTTTTTCTTTTTCTCAGGACAAGAGTTTCTCTGTGTAGCCGTGGCTATCCTGGAACTCACTTTTTAGACCAAACTGGCCTTGAGCTCACAGAGATCTGCCTGCCTCTGCCTCCCAAGTGCCAGGATTAAAGGTGTGTGCCAACACTGCCCAGCTAGAATTGTTAAATTTAATGATGTCACAAATGTACATCTGTGAAGGGAGAAGGAAAAAGAAGGCTTCTAGACTAGAGATGCTGGGCTGCAGGGTACAGCTGGATCTTATGGTTTCTTTTTTCTGTCCAGCCCTATTGTCTCAGGACATCACCCCCAACCCTTCCAGAAACACAGTCATATATTCTGGAAGCTTTAACGCCATGTCCAAGGTAAGAAGCATTTCTTTTTTTTTTTTAATATTTTATTTATTTATTTATTTATTTATTATTTATTATTTATTATGTATACAATATTCTACCTGCCTATGCACCTGCTTGCCTAAAGACACTAGATCTTATTATAGATGGTTGTGAGCCACCATGTGGTTGCTGGGAATTGAACTCAGGACCTCTGGAAGAGCAGGCAATGCTCTTAACCTCTGAGCCATCTCTCAGCCCCCAAGAAGCGTTTCTTACTTCCTCAAATGCCACCTTATTTTTCAGTCAAGCTAAAGGAACATTTCAGTTTCTGAAACTCAGCAGCCCAACAAATTCTTGTCTCTCCAGTGACTTGTTCTTGCTCTCTCCAGCCCATTGAACCTGCATTTTTAAAACGTTACAGAATGTTTCTACAATAACTAAAATAGTAAGTAGTGTGAGGTAGAACCAAAAGGAAACATTTAAAGATGCATATATAATACCCAGAAACAAATGCAAGTATGCAAATTGTAAAAATGAAGATATTTCCCCATTTACTAAACATGTAGTTATTAAAGACTCTACTAAATGCTCTGATAAATAAAAATAGACATTGTCTTTCATGGATTTGGTGTCTTCTGTTTTAATTATATATTAATATGCTGGTATGTATTATACCATCAGGGAAAGGATGGATTGTTCATATAGGAAAAACTTTTTTCCTTGCAATTATGATTCTATAAGTTAAATATGTAAATTATACATACACATTGTAGATAAAATATAGAGAGTAGCTGTAAAGAGAAAAGTAAGCCAGATTCAAATTGTCTAAAAAGTAGAGTTTAACATTTTTTCTATTCATGACCCTGCTTTGCCTGAGAATTTTTTTAATTAAATTAAAAAAAAAAAAAAGTATTAGCCAGGCAGTGTTGATACGTACCTTAATCTCGCACTTAGAAGGCAGAGGCAGGTAGATCTCTGAGTTTGAGGACAGCCTGGTCCACAGAGTAAGTTCTAGGACAGCCAGGGTTACAGAGAGAAACTCTACCTTGAAAAAAATACATCTATTTATGTGTACATGAAGGTGCTACTCCATGTGTGGTTAAAGGACAACTTGTGGAGTCAGTTCTCTCATTCCAACATGTGGGTCCTGGGTGTTGAACTCAGGTTGTCAGGTTTGGCAGCAAGTACTTTTACAACAATGGGTCTTTTTTTTTCTTTTGTTTTTTTGAGACAAGGTTTCTTTGTGTAGCCCTGGCTATCCTGAACTCACTTTATTGACCAGGCTGACATTGGGTCATCTTATTAGCCTATGCTTGAGAGATTCTTAAACAACCCTGACATATAGGTATATAAAATGGTTAGACAAATCAAACTTTTATTAATAATTAATTATTGAGAATTATTTTAAAACTATTCATTGGTATACATGTGATTTTACCATTTACTAAAGATGAAAGTAAATTTACATACTAATGAGATTAATGTACCTTTCTATTTTTATATAAATTAAATCTTGGCTGAATATTTGATTCTGTAGAACATTAAACAGAGTTAATCAGATTTTATTTTATAATTGGCAATGCTGAGACTGCTTTTTTAAAATAGTACAAAATGGCAGAAATATCTTTAGGGCCTTTTTTGTAAATTGTTGCAAATTCTGTCCTAACTCCAAGGTGAAATTAGCTAATTATTTTTTAAAACTTATTGTATGTATGTGTGTGTTTTGTCTCCATGTATTTATGTGCACCATGTGTGTGCCTGTTGTTGATAGAGGCCAGAAGAAGGCATACAAGTTCCTGGAAGTGGGGTTGCCCACATGGTGAGCCATCATGTGGGTGCTACGAACTGGAGAAAATAGCAAGTGCTCTTAACCACAGAACCAACTCTCCAGCTCTTATTTAATGTTTTTTGTTTTTTGTTTTTTTTAATGAAACTTTAAGTCAGCACCTTAAATGGTGCCTTAGTTTCTTTTCCCATGGCTATGGTAAAATACTTTGACAGTTCATGGTATAGCCCATCATGATGGGGAAATGAAGGCAGGGGAGGCAGAAAACAAGGAAGGCATGCTGCTCATCCTTTGCTCAGCTCACAAAGACTCGGATCCCAATCAGGGAATGGTGTAATCTACAGGGAGCACTCTTCTAACCTCAAGTAACACAGTCAAAATAATCTCCCACAGTTGTGCCCAGAGCTCCATTTCAAGCTGTCATGGTGTCTTAGTCAGTGTTCTATTGCTGTGAAGAGACACATGACCAAGGCAAGTCTTATAAAAGAAAGCATTCAACTGGGACCTTGCTCTTTTAGAGGGTTGGTCTGTGATCCTCACGATAGGAATCGGACAGGCATGGTGCTGACGCAGTAGCTGAGAGCTTTACATTCTGACTCACAGGCAGCAGGCAGAGAGAGACAGGGCCTGGAGTGGGCTTTTGAGACCTCAAAGCCTACCCCCAGAGACACACTGTCTCCAACAAGGTCACATCTACTCCAACAAGGCAACATCTCCTAAACCTTTCCAAATAGCTCCTGTAACTGGAGACCAAGCACTCAAACATATGAGCTTATGGGGGCCTTTTGCATTCAAACCACCACAGATGGTTAGTGTTAACTGCTGAAATTGTCTGGGAGACATATTCACTGTGGGTGGCAGTAGTCCCTAAAAGGGATCCTCGGCTATATGAACATCCATAAGTGTCTTAGTCACTGTTGTAGTGCTGTGAAGAGACACCATGACCAAGGTAATTTTTATAAAAGAAAGCATTTAATGGTGGTTGACTTACAGTTTCAAAGGATTAGTCTGTTGGCAGACAGGGTACCAGAAAAGTCTCAGAGCTACAATCCTGATGTGCAGGCAGGGAGTGAAGAGACCGAGACACTGGGTCTGGCTTGGGCTTTTGAAACCTCAGAACCCTCCCCCAGTGACACACTTCCTCTGACAAGACCACACCTCCTAATCCTCCTCATATAGTGCTACTCCCTGGTGGCCAAGCATTCAAATACATGAACCTATGAAAGCTGTTCTTTTTGTTTTGCTTTGATGGAGACAGGGTTTCTCTGTGTAGCCCTGGGGCTGTCCTGGAACTCACTCTGTAGACCAAGCTGGCCTCAAACTCAGAGATCTGCCTTCCCCTGCCTCCCAAGTGCTGGGATTAAAGCCACCACCTGGCATCCATTGCATTATGGATGCAATGTGACCAGCTGTATCAATCTCCTGCCACTGTCACTTCCTTCACTGAACTGTGAGATGAAATAAATCATTTCCTCTTAAGTTGTTTTTGTCTGGGTCCTTTTTTCTTTTCTTTTTTTCTTTTTTAGTTGTATTTACTTTACTTTGTGTATATGAATGTTTTACCTACATATATTGCCTGTGTACCACATGGGTACCTAGTGCCCAAAGAGGTCAGAAAAGGAGTCAAATCCCCTGGAACTGGAATTACAGACAGCTGTAAGCCACCATGTTGTAAGCTTCACATTCTGAGAACTGAGCTGAGCTGAACCATCTTTCTAGCCCCAAGTCAGGGTATTTTTATCACAGCAATAGGAAAGACAGTAAAGGCACTGAATTATTCTTAGAGAGTTGGCCATACCAACCATAACAAATAACAGTTTTTAAAAATCAAACATTCTAACAGAACACAATCAATAGATGTGCTAATTTAGTATGTATATGAGAAATGATAAAAGGAAAATTATTAAAGGTATGTTACAGGGAGTCTCTGGAAGGAAAGAATTCAGTCAAGAGACACAGGCAGTTTAAGTAGAATTTTATTTAGCAAGGAAAAGTGAAGTAAGTGGTAGACATAGAGATTGCTGCTCCCAAAGGCAGGGTACCAGCACAGTTAGATCTCTGTTTGGGTTTTAAAGTAGTTTATATGAATACTTATGTATTATAGAGTATATTCATGGGGTAAGGTGACTGTCCCCCTCTCAAGTGTGCTCACTATATCTCTCTTTTAGAGAATGTATTAGACAGGGTTCTCTAGAGGAACAGAATTTGTAAAAACCACACACATATGTGTGTGTGTGTGTGTGTGTGTGTGTGTGTGTGTGTGTGTATGTATGTATGTATGTTTGTTAAGACCATTGCCTGTACTTCCAAAGGACTTTGGTTCCTTGCACCCTCAACCATCTGTAATGCTAATCCCATGGGATATGATGCCCTTTTCTGGTCTTCATGGGCACCAGGCACACACATACATTCATACAGACATACATTCAGGCAAAACACTCATACACATAAATAAAATACATAAATAAGTTTTTAAAAATAATTATTGTCAATAAAGATTATATTTTAAAGTATTCTTGTTATAAAAAGAATATAATCGATTAGGTTTTGAAAGTCAAGCCTGATAGTCTTTTAAAAAATTAGTACATTTTCACTTAATATTATTACTTTCAGGTATATATTTAAACATAACATTCTCCTGTTCATTTTCCACATATTTCATTTGTTCTGTATTCTTTTATTTCTTCTTTTGCCTTGTTTGGATATATCTAATTAATTACACATGGTTTTTATAAATTCTTAAGTGTCTTTGATAATATGTATCCATTACTTACCATGTAATACTCTTGTTCCTGTGCCAGTATACCCTGTCTTCTCCAAGTGGAGAAGTTCTTTGGCATTTGGCATGAATCACCTGTTGCTATATCCTATACTGATTTTAGTATTACTCATCAGTATTTATAGGTGAGTCTTTTCTCCAGCAGTAGAGACTTTAAAGTTACACACTTTCCATAAGAGAATACCAAAGCAAGCATGGCAATTACTTGATTTGCATTTTCTTTTAGAATGTAAGCTACTGGTTAGTAGTGGCTATAAGGGTTGCAGCTCTTAGGGAAATGTATCCTGGCAGTTGGGAGCCAAGAAATATCACAAAGTCAGAATATACAACAAACCTCACACAAAAGATTTCTTGGGAGAGATATAAGAGTGTGGCTGCACTCTGGAAAGCAATCTGGCGCTTTCTCAGACAACTAGGAATAGCGCTTCCTCAAGATCCAGCCATACCACTCCTAGGCATATATCCAAAAGAGGCTCAAATACACAATAAGGACATTTGCTCAACCATGTTTGTAGCAGCCTTATTTGTAATAGCCAAAAGCTGGAAAACAGCCCAGATGCCCCTCAGCTGAAGAATGGATGCAGAAATTGTGGTACATCTACACAATGGAATATTACTCTGCAATGAAAAATAAGGAAATCATGAAATTTGCAGGTAAATGGTGGGACCTGGAAACGATCATCCTGAGTGAGCTGTCCCAGAAGCAGAAGGACACACACGGTATATACTCAGTCATATAGACATATAATATAGGATAAACCTACTAAAATCTGTACATATAGAGAAACTGATCTAGAGGGAGGACTCTGACTAGAATGCTCAATCCGCATCCCAAAGGGCAAAGAGGATGGACTCAGAAGAAGGCAGGAAACAGCATAGGGGCCTGCCAGGGAGGGCCTCTGGGGGGCTCTGCCCTGCGGACTGTCGTGGCAGACGCTGAGACTTATGGCCAATGGTTGGGTGGAGTGAATGGAATCTTATGTAAGAAGTGGGAAATAGGATCTGGAGAGGACGGGAACCCCACAAGGAGAGCAACAGAACCAGAAAATTTGAATACAGGGGTCTTCCCAGAGACTCATACCCCAACCAAGTACCAGGCATGGAGATGGCCTAGGGCCCCTGCGCAGATGTGGTCCATGGCAGTTTAGTGTCTAAGGGGGCAGGGAGGTTGGGGAGACTGGGAGGGGAGGAGGGAGAGGCTTATGGGGGATGCAGGGTGGATAAAGTGTAATTAATAAAAAAAAAAAAAAAAGTATCTGCCTCTGTTCCAGTGACAGGCAGCCAAGAACTGAGCAGGTGGCAGGCTTTATATAGGGTTTCTTGGGTTTGGGGAGTTGAAGGGAGTAGCACTTTCCAGGCCTGGGATTGGTGGGATTCTGTGACCTGATATTGGACTTTTTTTCCTGTAGGGTGGAGCTTGGCCATTACAGCAGTTAGAGTAGTCTGGGGGATGGGACCTGGCCACTTGCACTTTGAGGTTTGGAGTGGCCATAACTTGGAGTAAGTCCAGCACTTGGGAGACTGAGGCATAAGGACTAAGAGTTCAAGACCAGCTTCAGTTGTGTGACTATATCCTATCAAACAAGAGAGAGAGAGAGGAAACAGATAGGCACACAACTGAGTTGCATACAAGACACTGTCTTAAAAAAAGATTTCTTTTTTGCTTTTACCAAAGTATAGACAGTTTAGCTAGTGCTAATTCTTTTGTGTTGTGTTGTTGTTATTTGTTTGTTTGTTTGATTGATTGATTAGTTGAGATAGGGTCTCACTATATAGCTATGAACTCACTACATAGCTTAGGCTACCCAGGAACCCAGGGTTTCCTACCTGTGCCTCTTGAGTGCTGGGATGACAGGTATGTGCTGCTGTGTCCAGGTTTAGTTATTTAACCTAGGCCTCTGTAGGGACTTGAACCAGAATACATTTATGTCATTTCAGGATTTGCTGACATTTGGGGATGTGTCTATAAATTTCACTCAAGAGGAATGGGAGTGGCTGAATGATGCTCAAAGAGATTTGTACAGGAAGGTGACGTTGGAGAACTACAGGAGCCTTGTGTCGCTGGGTAAGGCAGTCTCTGCAGAATTCCAACTCTGAATGGGGCTGTGTTCTGGAAAATATCTCTGAGATGGTGAGTGGGAATGAGCTGGGTGCCTCTTTTGGGAAAGGCCCAGTCATCATCAGTGCCTTTGGAGTAGGTTTTGTTAAAGCATCTCATTCATATAGAACATCGTTCTCAACCTTCCAAATGCTTCCCTTTTTATTAAAATTTTTAAAAATTACATCTCTCTTTGTGTGTGTGTATGTGTGTGTATGTGTGTGTGGTATGTGAGTGTGTGTATGAGTGTGTGTGTGCATGTATGTGTGTTGGGGAATTGTCTGCACATGCCACAGTGTGTGTGTGGAGGTCAGAGGGCAACTCTGTGGCGTCAATTCTCTCCCTCCACTTTTATAGGGGTTCTAAGGATGGAACTTAGGTCACCAGACTTACACAGGAAGCACTTTCCCATTGAGCCATTTTATTGGCCTGATTTATCTTTCTTATGTCCATATAGTGAAACATGCCTGTAGTTCCATGTGCTCAGAGGGCTGGTGTATTAGTCAGGGTTCTCTAGAGCAGTGGTTCTCAGCCTTCCTAATGCTGTGACCCTTTATACAGTTCCTCATGCTGTGACCCTCAACCGTAAATTATTTTCATTGCTACTTCATAACAGTAGTTTTATGAATTGTTTGAACTTTATGAAGTTATGAATTGTAATCTAAATATGTATTTTCTGATGGTCTTAGGTGAGCCCTATAAAAGTGTCATTCAATCCCAAAGTAGTTGCAACCCACAGGTTGAGAACCACTGCTCTACAGGATCAGAACTGATAGGATGAGTATAAATATACATATTTATAATATATATTATATATTACTATATATTATACATAATTATATAATATATAAGTACATTTAAATAAATATAGTTCTATATTTATACTCATATGTATATGTAAACACACATATCTAATGGGATTTATTAGAATGGCTTACAGCCTGTGGTCTAGCTAGCCCAACAATGGCTGTCTACCAACAGAAGGCCCAAGAATATAGTAGTTGTTCAGCCTGTGAGCCTGGTCTTCACTATACACCAGAATCCCAAAGAAGTAGGCTCCAATGCCAGTGAGAAAGATCCAGATTCAAAGAGGGTCTTAGACCAGGTGGTGGCATGCCTTTAATTCCAGCACTTGGGAGGTAGAGGCAAGTGGATCTTTGAATTCAAAGCCAGCCTGTTCTACATAATGACTTCCAGGACAGCCAGGATTACACAGAGAAACCCTTGAAACAAATTAAAAAAAAAAAAAAAAAAAAAAAAGAATATTTCCCATCTTCCTCAGCTTCCACCTGTAAAACTTGACCTTCCTGATGAGCAGGAACCTTGATTTGATCTCTGAGAGTGGCTAATTCCTCTTCTGTTTCTTGGAAACAGGAATCCCTGTTTTTAAACCAGCTGTGATCTCATTACTGGAACAAGGAAAAGACCCCTGCATGGTGCAGAAGGAGAGACAAAGAGACACATGTCCTGGTGAGTGGGAATGAGCTGGGTGCCTCTGTCGGGAAAGGCCCAGTCATCATCAGTGCCTTTGGATTAGGTTTGTTAGCCACCATGTAGTTGCTTGGAATCAAACCCAGTCTCTTGGAAGAGCAGCAAGTGCTCTTAACCACTGAGCCATCTCCCCAGGCCAGCAAATGACATTTTAAAGACTGGATGTAATATATATCCTATTATCAAAGCGGGAAGAAACACTGAGCATAAGCCCTGAATTACTCTCTCTGCACACTTTACAAGTTACCTTCACTTCCAATAACTCATTTCCTTTTCTCTGCATCCAAATGAGTCCTTGCCCTTTTGTCTTTTGGTTTGGCACAAGTTGGTCCATTGCATTAAAAAAGAAGAAAAAGGAAAAAAAAAAAAAAAAAAAAAACAACTAGACTCATTGTTTCTTTTCAATCACGCATTCCTTTTAGACTGAAAGATTGATGCTTTCATTCATTCGCTCATTAACTCTTTCACTGAGTTGCTTTGAGCACAAAGTTAACCCCATGAGTTATTTGCAAATTTCTAAACTGTTGGAGAAAAAAAAAAAGAAAGAAAGAAAGAAAGCACTCCTCAAGCTTATTTTCAAGTTTAGGTAATTCCAGAATGGTAACATGAAATAATCAGAATAACATGGGTTGGTAGGAGAGAGGAGTATGGTTAGAGATCTTAAGAATTCCAGGGCTTAAGAGTGGGTTGATCATTGGCACTACATAAACCTGCCATCGTGGTGCACACCTGTAATCCCAGCACTGGGGAGGCAAAGGCAGGAGGATCAGGAGTCAAAGGTCATCCTCAGACAAAGCTGGGCTTTAGGACATTCTGTCTTAAAAGAGAAACAGAGAGATTGGGAAAGGGTAGAGGGAAACAGGGAGAGAGAGATCATGAGTATAGAATGCAGTTTGCAACTGACCTGAAAGAAAGTCTGAATTAGAGACACTGTGAGTGAATGGTACTGCTCTCCTAAAAGGCTGAGAGGTGACACCCAGTGCTGAGGCCCTGTGGGGAAGCAGATGTCTGATAGTTTTCCCAGCATCCTCTGTAGTAAATAGTCTCTATAGTTTCTTTGAATGAGTTTTATGTATTTGTATTTGTCTGGTAGTTACCTTTTTATTTAAGTTACCAAATTTATTTCCATACACTTGAGCAAAGTGATCTTATAACTTTTTTATATCTATGAGAGTTGGCAATTTTAATTTCTTATTTTATATACTTGTCATTTGGAAGTGATGTGTTTTATATACACATCACATTGGAAGTGATGTGTTAGGTTGCTCTTCATAAATCTGTGTTATTTTTCAAGATTCAACACGTATTTTTTGTGTGTGTTCCTATTCTCTTTTTCAATTCTCTGTTTTTCGCTTTTTTTTTCTTTCCTTCTGATTTTATCATTTACTATGGTCTCCACATTGCTGTAGGAGTGGCTTAGCCTGCTGATCTCATCCTAACTTGGTGATAACATTGACAAGGGCTGTGAGATTTCCTCTGTGTATCCTCAGCTGTCTCCTGTAGATTCTGATAGCTCTTGAGTTTTCTTACTGCTCTTTCCTATAGTTTTGAATTTCCCTTTCACTTGAGTTGTTTAAAAGATCATTTTCTTGTTTCATTGGTCAGATTTTTTTATTGTACTAATATTAGGATATATTTATAGACAGTAAACTGCATTAATAAAAATCATACAATTTGAGAAATTTTGACACATATTACTTTAAACTGAAGTTTTGTTGTTGTTGTTTTTCGAGACAGAGTTTCTCTGTGTAGCTTTGGCTGTGCCAGACTTGCTTTGTAGACCAGTCTGGCCTCTAATTCACATAGATCTGTGTGCCTCTGACTCTGGGATTATAGGTATGCACCACTGCACCCGGCTAAACTAAGTTTTGACATCATGTACTACTATTTACAAAATTGCTTTGACTATTGCAGAGCATTTATATTTTATATAAATTTTAGAATGAAAATGAGAATTTTTACTCAGAGAGCTTTGTTTGGGATTATGTTTGTCAGCTGAGAAAGAATTGACATGTTAACCTTAAAATCCAACAAGTTTTAATTTTCTCTAATTTGTCATAGGAATATTTTAAAATGCAGTCCAGTAGCTTTTCCTTCATTCCTTTGTTCCTTCCTTTCTGTCTTTTATTTCTTCTGTCATTTATCTTTTTTTTTTTTTGGATTGTTTTTCAAGATAGGGTTTCTCTCTGTGTAGCCCTGGCTGTCCTGAAGCTCACTGTGTAGACCAGGCTGGCTTTGAACTCAGAGATCTGTCTGCCTCTGCCCCCACCATTTTGAGGCTTTAAGGTGGTGTTCTTATTGCCTTTTGCATTTTCTTCCTGAAACTCTGAGGATTCTTTTATGTAATCATGCCATCTGAAGACATGGACAACTTTATTTCTTCCTTTCTGTGCTTTATCTTTTGTTTCCTACGATCTTGCAATGGCTAGCGTTTGCTATATAATGTTGAATGGAGGTAGTAAAAGCATATGTACTTAGATTGTTCCAATCTAAGGAGGATATGTGTTCTGTTTATACGTGTTAAGTTGTTTCAAACTGTAGGGCTTTTGTTAACTACTTAGAAACAGATCCCTTGTTTTAATAAAAATTTTATAATTAACAGTTCAAATACTCATTCTACATCTATTGAGATGATCATATGATTTTTTATTTGTTTTTTTTTTCTACTGTTAACGTAGTGAACAACAGTGATGATTTTCCAGTATTAAAATCCATTCCTTGGATTAATTATTTTTTATCAAAATTATGCTTCCTATATTTTATATGCTTTCCTATGGTTTGTAATGGTTGGTTAAGGTTTTGCTATGGAATTTGATTTGCTATAGTTTTGTTAAACATTTTGCATTTATGTTTAGGCACTGCATTGGTCTGTGGTCTTACTTGTAATTTCTTTATCTGGCTTTGCTATCAAGATAATGCTGGATTTGTGAAAACAAATTCAGGAGTCTTTCACTGTCTTCTCTTTCTGAAAAAGTTTCACAGAATGGTATTTTTTCCTTTTACGTCTTTGGTGCAATCCACTGTTGAAGACATACATAAGAAACAGATTTAATGACTATAGGATTATTTTGGAATATAATTCTTTTTCAACTTTGGAAAACCTTTCTTTTTCAAGAGACTGTATTTCATATGAGTTGACAACTTATTAACATAAGTTATAAAATTATCTTTTTAGTTGTGTAGAATATGATTAACTCCTTTCAGCTCTGATGTTGGCAATTGTTTCTTTTTTAATTTTTCTAAAATGTTTTAAATTTTTTTTTGTGTGTGTATGTGTGTGCATGAGGATGGGCACACACATGTATGTGTGTGGAGGTCAAAGGACAACTCTCGGGAGTTGCTTCTTTCCTTCTATGTTGAGCTGGAGATCTGCTTTGGGTCATCAGGCTTAATGGTAAATGCCTCTACACTCTGAACCATCTTACTGGCCCTCTCATTTTCTTAGTAAGTGCTCTTCATAACCTAATTTTGCCCTTACTTTTTCTGGTCATTGTACCTGCTTTATTATTTTCTCACTTAATTTGTGTTTTTCTACTTCATGTGGGTTTACATTGGTCTTTTCTGCGGTAGCACCTCAAGGATTTCCTGTGTTCATTTTGGTTGCTTGTTGTGTAATTATACGTATTTTTAAGTTCTAACTATTCTGTAATACTCTGATAGCTAGTACATGTCAGACATTATTATGTCTCTTAAATGTAGTTTCTTTGAGGGTAGAGATCATCTCTCTCTGATTTCAGTCAGTACTTTGAAATTTATTGAGATATGTAGCTTTTGATCCGTGAAAAGGTCTAGCTTATTGAACTATACACGTCCTATATTAAAACAACCTTGCATCCTTTGGATTAATTATTTTTGGTCAAAATTATTCTTACTATATTTTATTGAATTGAAAACCTCTTGGATACCATGAATACATATTGGACAGCTGTTGAATGTAGTTATATCAATATAGAGTAGGATATGATAGTTAATTCTGATGAGACCTACTTCATATTTACTGATTTTTGCCAGGATTTATCACTTTTTAAGACCCTGGTCTCAAAACACACAGAAAGGTAATGTTGGGCCACTGAGATGGCTCATCAGGTAAAGGCACTTACCACCAAGCCTGATGACCCCAGTTCTATCCTCAGGACTCACATGGTGGAAGGAGAGAATCAGCTTCTGCAAGTTGTCATTTGACCTCCATACAAATGTCATAACATTCACTTATGTGCACACATTAAATAAATGTAGTTTTAAAGAAGTAATCTTATTTGGGACTAATAAGGGGAAGGCAAATTAAACTCTGTACTAAATCAATAACAGCAAGCAATTTGATAGAAAACTTATGTCTTCATGAAGGCATTGTGGTTTCAGGAATCAACTTAAAATTATATTTAGTTAGAACTTATTACAAAGAAAAAATTTTTTTTTCAGAAACACTTCTTCTAGAATGCAACAGTTAAAGATAGAGTTTAATGACTCACCATTAGATCTGGGTATCTAGTGGGGTACTTTAACTACATTCTTGACATTCTAAAATTGATTTTTAACTTGAGAAGAAGAGAAGATGTTTGAAGACTGTATTATTAATTCATATATACAATGATAATTATGTATAAAAATAATTAATTCATTTAAAAACATAATTGTGCTTTTTGACGACCTCTTTAATATTTTTCTTTTATTTTGTTACATTTCATGGTTATATATGATTAATTTAATCAACTAGCTTTTTTTCTTTTTTTTCTGAGACAGAATCTCACTATATATCTCTAGCTGTCCTGGAACTCACTATGTAAATCAGGTGGGTCTCAAACTCAAAGAGAATAGCCTACCTCTGCCTTCAAAGGGCTGGGATTAAACGTCTGTGCCCTTGCGCTCAGTTTAATCACCTTTCTTAATTTAGTTTTCAAGATGCATTAAGAAATATTAAATCCTTTAATTTCTTTTGCATTTCACTTTCTCTGAGCACTTTCTTTTCTTACAATGAATGAATTTTAAAACATCTATTTTTTGGTATCTTTTAGATTGGAAGTATGTATTCAATGGCACTGAATTTTCATTAAAGCAAGGTATTCATGAAGAATCTGCCAAAGTCCTAACAATGGGAAGAAGCCATCTTGGTTACAGCCTTGACTGTCCCAATTTGAAAGAAGACCATGAAAGTGAAGACTGGTTTAGGAACAAGTTGGGAGGTCAGGAGGTGCATTCTAATCAGTTGCTCATTTCTCATAAGGAAGTCCGTGAAGATCAAAGTAATGGGTGTAATCCTTCTTGGCAAACATTTCCTCAGGATGCAATACTAGATATGCCACAAAGTTTCTCTACCAAAGAAAGAATACACCAGTGTGAGCCCCAAAAGAAAAGTCACCGAAAAAAGTCTGTTGAAGTGAAACATAAGAAGGCCCATGCAGAAAAGAAAATTCTGAAGTGTAATGACTGTGAAAAAGTCTTTAACCAGAGCTCATCCCTTACTCTCCATCAGAGAATTCATACTGGAGAAAAACCCTATGCATGCATTGAATGTGGGAAAGCCTTCAGCCAAAGCGCAAACCTAGCTCAACATAAGCGAATACACACAGGAGAGAAACCTTATGAATGTAAAGAGTGTAGGAAGACCTTCAGCCAGAATGCACACCTTGCTCAGCATCAGAGAGTTCATACTGGAGAAAAACCTTATCAGTGTAAAGAATGTAAAAAAGCCTTCAGCCAGATTGCACACTTGACTCAGCATCAAAGAATTCATACTGGAGAAAGACCTTTTGAATGTATTGAATGTGGTAAAGCTTTTAGTAACGGTTCATTTCTTGCTCAGCATCAGAGAATTCATACCGGAGAGAAACCTTATATGTGTAATGTGTGTGGAAAAGCTTTTAGTCACCGTGGATACCTAATTGTACATCAAAGAATTCATACTGGAGAGAGACCCTATGAATGTAAGGAATGTAGGAAATCTTTCAGCCAATATGCACACCTTTCTCAACATCAGAGAGTCCATACTGGAGAAAAACCTTATGAATGTAAAGTATGTAGGAAAGCTTTTAGCCAGATTGCTTACCTTGATCAACATCAGAGGGTTCATACCGGAGAGAAACCCTATGAATGTGCTGAATGTAAAAAGGCCTTCAGTAATAGTTCATCTCTTGCACAGCATCAGAGAAGTCACACTGGAGAGAAACCCTATATGTGTAAGGAATGTAGGAAAACTTTTAGCCAAAATGCAGGCCTTGCTCAACATCAAAGAATTCATACTGGAGAGAAACCATATGAATGCAATATCTGTGGGAAAGCCTTTAGTTACAGTGGATCTCTTACCCTGCATCAGAGAATTCATACTGGAGAGAGACCTTATGAATGTAAAGACTGCAGGAAATCTTTCAGGCAACGTGCACACCTTGCTCATCACAAGAAAGTCCATACTATGGAGTCATTCTTGTCCCTTTCCTCTCCATCATCCTCTACATCCAGTCAGTTGCCAAGAGCTATAGTTTGATCTCCTAAATATGACCCAAATTTGACCCATTAGAACCATTTATGTTTCATTATCCTTGTCTTCTACATGTTAATCTGTGTTATGTGGAATATTGAAATGGCTTTCCAGTGTATTCACTTATGCCTCTGTCAGTTTCCACACTTCAGCAAAACCTAAAAAATCAACAACAAATTTTCGTCATATTATCTATCCCTCATTAACTAAGATTTCTTACTGATACCCAGAAGTTTGTAGGGAAAAAGCACACAGTCCTTAAAGTAACCTAACAGGCCACCTTGGCCCTAGAACCTTGTTTCAAACTACCTTTTAAAACCTTCATGTCAATATTCACCACTCTCCCTTTTTTGATACATACAGAATTAAAATAGATCTAGGCTTCATCCTTGCTCTTTTATCTTCTATCCCTAATTTTTAGGAGAGCATTTGGTCCTTTGTAACCTTCAGTCTTATTTATATTATGGTACCAATAATGGCTCTACCTCAAAAGTAATTGGGGCAAGTAAATAATGCATGTAAATTTCTTAGCAGAGTGCTTAGCATAAAATAGTATTAATCCAAAATAAAAATATGGTGATATACAAAGAAGAGTTGGTTATTTTAGTCATAAGAAGCAAAAACACAGACCTGAGACATTATAACATTTTAAAAATGAGAAATACTAAAGTTGGAAACAGGGTGTAGCTCAGTTTATAAAGTGCTTACTTAGCATGCTCAAAACCCTGAGTTCAATGCCCAGTGCCATGTGAATTAGGCATAGAAGTTCAAGGTTTTCCTTGGCTACATAGTAAATTCAAGGCCAGCCTGGGCTACATAAAACCCTATTTTAAAAATATATATACTATATGGGTGAGATCTAATGCATTTGGCTTGACATTAAACTGATGATAGAGGGAAACATGTTAGCTTTTATTTCAGCATGAATATGTAAATATTACTGAATAAGAAAAATGATTTAATTATTCAAGTTCTATGAATCCACACTTGCTTTTCTTTTTAAATAAGCCACTTGAGGTAGCATTTACTGAGATATATTCATTATATATATGTAAACAAAAGCAAAACATTTAAAAAACAAGGCTGAAAATCTGGTCAGTAATCAGTGAACTAGAGCACCCACCAAGATGTACTGCAGTTTAGACCTAAAAACACGTCTTCAGCCAGGTGGTGACAGCGCAGGCCTCGAATCCTAGTAATCCTAGTGCTCAGGGAGGCAGAGGCAGGGCGATATCTGTGAGATCAAGGCCAGCCTGGTCTGTAGAGTGAGTTCAGGACAGCCAAGGCTACACAGACAAACCCTGTCTTAAAAAAAAAAAAAAACAACAACAAAGCACATCTCCAGTCATTTTTTTTTTAAGATTGTGTGTGTGCAAGTGTGTTTGCAAATGCACATGTGCTTTTGTGCCTGAGCCAGAAGACTCACCTGGAATTGGAGTTAGACCTGTTGATGAACCACACAGTATGGTTGCTGTGATCTTAACCACTGAGTCATCTCTAGCCCTACATCTCAGTTAATGCAAGAGAATTCAAGTCTCATGAGATGTTTTCTGGCCAGAATGGAATGAACTTAGAAACAACAGAAAGATAACCCAAATTTGAATTAGACTAGCATACTTTTCAGGAACTCAGTTCAAAGAAGAAATCAAAAGGGGAAATAGAAAATACTTGGAACTGAGTCAACTGAGAACCTAGCAAATAGGAATTTGTTGGATATAGCTCATGTGGTACTTAAAACTACAACAGCGTCTCACACTTGTTTGAAAGATTTCAAATCAACTTCAGTTTGCACCTGAACAAATAAAGAAGAGAAATAAAGCCCATAGCCTAAGACTAGACACTAGGGATTTGCAGAGATGGCTCAGTTGTTAAAGAAAGAATAGGAAGTACAGAAAGAAGGCTCAGAGTATGTCTTGATGACAGAGAACCAGCTTAGTATGTATGAGGGAGGCCCTACCTAGGTTCAATCTCCAACACCTTCCCCCTCAATTTTGAATGAAAATCAAATAGAAAAATCTAAACAAAAGCTGATTTTTTGAGAATATTCTTAAAACTAACAAACTATTCATATGCATATATTGGCAGTGTCGGGGATTATAACAGGCGCCTACAACTCTATTTGCTAAAAAGCATTGACTCCATACTTAGTCCCACGAGAGCCTGTAAAAGGTGCCCAGAAGTCTCTAGTTATTAGCCTAAGCCTGTGGTCACTTTGGATTCTAGGAACAACAGTTTTATGGGGCTTGGGAAATGGCTCAGTAAGTAAAGTGCCTTCCATGCAAGTGTGAGGACCTAGTTCAGATTCACAGCACTCACATCAAAGCCTGGTACGGCAGTGTGTGCCAGTCTATAACCACAGCACTAAAAGAGCAGAGATAGGCAGATCTTATCAACTCAGCCTATCTAAATTGATGAGCTCCAAGTTCAGTGAGAGAGTATTTGTCAAAACACAAGGTGACTGGCCATCAGTGTGGCTCAGCTCATCCTAACACCTCATGCTGCACTAGCCTGGTGACCTGAATTCAAGCCCCAGAACCTATGGAAAGGCGGTAGCAGAGAATCTACTTCCCACAGTTGTCCTCTGTCCTCCATATGTGCATCATAGCACGTTTCCTTCACACCATGCATTCATGCATGCATATAGTAATCTTTTTTAAAAGTGGAGCACAATTGAGATCACTTGACATCAACCTCAAACAGTTTCCCTCTGGTACACATATACTTCCTCTACACAAACACACACACACATTTCTGACAAAGGATGAAAATTAACCCCATATGATGCTGAGGTTGTACCCTGGATCAATAATAATCAGCTTAAGTGCTACCAAGCTGTAACTCCAGCTTCCCCTTAGCATCCCAGTCTATATGATCTCCATTGAAAGAATTCAGACAAGACACAAACAGCATAGTGTAGATAACAGGTGTTTATTAAAAGGTAAAGTACAGCATTTTCAAAGGGACCATTGTGAGTGAACGTGGACAGTAGCCACAGAAATCTAGGCAGACTTTTTTTAAAAAAATACTGTTTCTATTGAAAGTTTTCCTCAGGAGAACTTTATTACCTGGGTGACTGACAGGCCCATCTTTTTTTTCTTTCTTTTGTTGCTGTTGTTGTTTGTTTGTTTTTTGAGACAGGATTTCTCTGTGTAGCCTTGGCTGTCCTGGACTCACTTTGTAGACTAGGCTGTCCTCGAACTCACAGAGCTCCACCTGCCTCTGCCTCCCCAAGTGCTGGGCTTACAGGCCTGTGCCACTGTGCCCAGTTTTGTATTAACACTTAGGGGAGAAAACACAATGGTATATCTTTGTTCCTTACCAGCAATTCTGGGGAATTCAGAATGTCATGTCTTTTAGGGCCAGAGGTAGGACTCCAATCCCACTGTTTGGATTAATAATCAGAGTACTGCATTTTGTTTCCTGGTTACTGCTACTGGTGGATAGGTTCACCTTCAACAACTTCAAGCCTGCTAATGCCAAACTACCTATCTAATATTATAGGGACAACATTGCTTCTTCAAGTGATAATTATGATAATTTCTAGGAACCACCCTGCAGAGCTATGTTGGGCTTTCCTGGGGAGATGCAACATCTATCACACTAACCCCTATACACACACACACACCCCTACTCTTCCCAAAAAGGGAACCCACTACAGACCTAAGTAATGATTGCATCAAAGTCCAAATTGGTAAACCAATGAAGGGTTTTTTTAAATTTTATGTTTATTAATTACAGTTTATTCACTTTGTATCTCAGCTCTAGCCCCATCCCCCAGCCCCTCCCAATCCCATTCTCCCTCCCTCTTCTCCTCCCCCAGTCCAATGATAGGGGAGGTCCTCCTCTCCTTCCATCTGACCCTAGTCTATCAGGTCTCTATAGGACTGGCTTTATTGTCTTCCTTTGTGGCCTGGTAAGGCTGCTCCCCCCTCAGGTCGAGGTGATCACAGAGTCAGCCCTTGACTTCATGTCAGAGACAGTTCCTGTTCCTATTACTGGGGAACCCTCTTGGACACTGAGCTGCCATGGGCTACATCTGTGCAGGAGATCTAGGTTATCTCCACGAATGGTCCTTGTTTGGAGTATCAGTCTCAGAAAAGACCCCTGTGCCCAGATCTTTTGGTTCTGTTTTTTTTTTTTTTTTTAATTTGTACTTTAGGTATATTAGTGTTTTGTATACCTAGTGCTGAGGAAGCCAGGAGGGGGTATTAGATCCCTGAAACTAGAGGGAATAGAAACTAGAGTTATAGATGATTTTGAGCCACCAGGAGGGTGCTGGGAATCTCTCCAGCCCCAGAATGAGTTTTTATTGGAGTTCTAACAGGAGTATGGATGAGGGGTTACTTAAAAGAGTAGGGATCATGACATGGGTGCTACACTATCAGACCTAACCTAGGTTCTGGGGGATCGAATTGCAGTTTCCAGGCTTTTGTGGAAAGTGCTTTACCAGAGTTATTGCCCCATTTGTTGATTTCATTTGTATGTGTTTGGGTGGCTTTGCCTGCATGTTTGTCTGTGTACAACATACACCTGTGTGCCTTGTACCTTTGGAGGCCAGAAGATGCCGTCATATTCTTTAGAACTAGAATTGCAGCTATCAGCCACCACATGGACACTGGGAACTGAAGCTGGATCTTTTGCAAGAGCACCAAGTTCTCTTAATCACAGAGCCATCTCATCTCTCCAGGCCTCTACTTTTTGTTGTTTTTGTTTTGTCAGCTAGGAACAATCTATGCAGTAGTCCAGGCTAGTTTTGAACTCATAATGATCTGCCATTATGCCAACTTCTGCCATTTGAGTTCTGGGATTGAAGGCATGTACTATGCTTGGCCCTACTCTTCCTTTTTGTGAATGACTCTCAGTGAACCTGGAGCTCACTTTTTCAGCTATTTTATCTGACCAGCAGGAACCCCCCAGATTCCCATGTCTCCACCTCTCAGAACTGGGGTTACATATATGTGCTTCCATGCCTGACTTTTACATGCCTGCTGGAGATCTGAATCTAGGTCTTCATGCTTGAGTTTGGAGAGGGGTGTGCCATGCAGATAGCTTAACCACCTGTGAGACTGCTAAACACTTTTTTGGAAAAGGTATGAGGGTAGCTCTAGCAAAGCAGGGATCCTGGTTGCTAAGCCATCCCAGTGCTTACATGCTTCAGATCTATCTCTTTTTTTTCCTTCTATTGGCCCCTTAACTTTATTTAACTTGCACCTCTATAACTCAGTTTATGTCCATTTGAGATTATGTGTTCTTGGAACTGACCACTTTATTATAACTTTTTTTTTCCATTAGGAATTGAACCCAGGGCCTCACCACATGCTAGGCAATTACTCTATAATAATTTTTATCCCTTAGTCCTTAGTTTCAGCTTTTTGAGTGCTTATACCACTATACCTCCTAACACACAACACACAGACACACACACACACAGACACACACACACACACACACACACACACCATTTTACATTTGATTGATGCATTTAAGGTGTATTGCTGGTAGTTCAATCTTATATACTTTTTAAAAGAGTTCATTTTAGTGTGTGTGTGTGTGTGTGTGTGTGTGCATGCTTGTGTGTGCACACAAGTGTATGAGGACAACCTGAAGGAATTGGTTATCTCTTTTCACCATGTGGGTCCAAGGGATTGAACTCAGGTCCATCAGAGTCATTTGAGGAGTCTCAATTGAGGAATTGCCCAAATCAAACCTTGGGCATGTCTGTGGGGGTTTGTCTTGATTGTAAATTGGGGTCTGTGGGTACCACCATTCTCTAGGCAGGTTGTCCTAAGGTATATGTGGTACCTAGCTAAGCATGAGCCTGAGAACCAGCCAGGAAACAGAATTCCGCCACAGTTTCTGCCTTTCAAGCTCCTACCCTGACTTCTCAGTGATGGACTGTGCCCCAGGAGTGTAAGCTAAAAAAAGTCTTCCTTCCTGAGTTGTTTTTAGTCAGTGTTTTATCACAGCAAACAGCAAACTAGAATACATGTTGTCTACTAGTGAGCCACATCCCAGATGACATCTTCCAAGGGATACTGTTGATCTGGAGCTTCTCGGCAGATGCAAGAGGACATAACAAAGCATAAAGATTTGAGCAGTGGTGAGGGGTATAGAAAGGGCAAGAGAAAAGCCTGCCTTTCTTTGAGTCTTCTCTGTGCTATTCTTCATCCATTTGTTGCAGTGATTTTATTTTACATATCAAAAATTCAACATTTCAACATCATGTCAGCTACCTTTACCTTGCTTCTGAGTTTAACTTCTCTAAGTTTTGTTCATTTGTTCTTTACTTGTATTCGACACTTTATTGCTGAAACAAAATCCTTGAGCAAAACAAGGTACAATTTATTTTGGTTTTAGTCCTTCATAGAAGGGTGAGCAGAGCAGGCAGGGCAGAGCTCTCACCTGGTAATCAGAAAAGAGATGGGAAAAAGGAGGAATAGAGAAGGTTCTGGTAAAAGCTCTCCAATGTATGAGTCATCGTGAGCTGTCATAAAAAGATACTACAGACTGGTTGACTTAAAAGAGGAGGGGGGAAGGAGAAATGGCTCAGCAGATTGGAGCACTTATTAATTGCAGAGGTTTAATTTCTAGAACCCACATGGTGAATTACAACCATAACTCCAGTTCAGGGAATCTGATTCCTTCTACTGGCCTCTGAGCACCAGGCATATGTGCAGGCAAAACTTTCATACACATAAAATATTTTAAACCTTTTAATTTTTTTATTTATTCTTCTCTCATACATTACAACCTGACTGAAGCTTCCACCTCCCTCCACTCCTCCCAGTCATGCCTCCCCCACCCTCCCACATCCCTTCTCTCTAGATACACTGCTCCTGTTTCCCTTCAGAAATGAGCAGGCCTCTCAGGGATATCAACCGAATATGGCCTAACAAGATGCAATAGGACTAGACACACTCATATCAGGGGCTGGGCAAGGTAACCCAGTAGGAGAACAAGAATCTCAAGAGCAGGAAAAAGAGTCAGAGATATTCCAACTCTCACTGTTAGGAGTCCCACAAAAACCCCAAGCTAAACAGCCACAACATAGTCGCAGAGGGCCTAGCGTGGATCTACGCAAGCTCCTTGATTGCCACTTCAGTCTCTATGAGCCCTTATGAGCCCCACTTAGTTGATTCTATGGGCCATGTTCTCCTGTCAACTCCTCTGGCTCCTACAATCCATCCTCACCATTTTCTAAAAGTGGGGATCCTCAAGCTCCACCTAATGTTTAGCTGTGGGTCTCTGCCATTTGCGCCCATATATTCATCCATATAAAATAAAACTTTAAATTCTTTTTTTAAAAGGGTGTTTTGTTTGTTTGTTTTTGTTTTTCAAGACAGGGTTTTTCTGTGTAGCCTTGGATGTCCTGGACTGAGTTTGTAAACCAGGTAAGATCCGCCTGCCTCTGCTTCCCTGAGTGCTGGGATTACAGGCACGTGCCACTGCACCCAGCCCCCCCACCAAAAATAGTTCTTAGAGTATGGGACAAGACTCAGCCCCCCAAAACATCCCCATGCCATAGTTCCTTCAGTAAGGCCTCACCTAAAATTCCCAGAGCCTCCTGCCAGCTGAGGATGATGAATCTATAGTGGACATTTTATACTGACTGAAACTACAACATTTGTGGTCAAAATTAGAACCATGTGATCAAATAATATAAACGTTTCTTAAAAGAAATAGGTAGCACTTATCTTTAATCCCAGCACCCAGGAAGCAGAAGCAGGTAGATCTTTGTGAGTTCAAGCCTAGCCTTGTCTGCAGATGGAATTCTAGGACAGGGATACACAGAGAAGCCTTGTCTTGAAAAACAAACAAACAAAACAACACCCCAAAACAAACAAAAAACAACAAAACAAGAAGAAATGAAACAGATATTCTCCTAAATAGGATTTGCAGAAGGAAAACTCGTAAAAAGAGCCTGATTGTATATACTTTAATCACAGAAAAGAACTCAGACTTCATTCTTCATTTCTTTTATAACTTGCACAAGCTGGAAAGAAGGACAGAAAAATACATTGAATGTGCTGGACAGCCCATAGGAAAACATCTAGTACTTAACTGAGTTTTTCCATGTATTAACCAGTTTGAGCTGCCATGACACTGTATCACAGGCTGACTTAAGAGAAATTAAATTCTCATAGTTCCTCCATGGGCTGGAACTCCAAGGTCAGGGTTTCAAACTGGTCAGGTTTGGTGAGGGCTTTTTCTTGGTTTGCAGATGTCTCCCTGTGTTCTCACATGAGACAGAAACAGATCAAGCCCTTTGGTGTCTTTGATCAATAAACATAACAAAAAGGCCCACCCACAACATGACCTCAGTAATCTCATTTCTAAATATCACATTGAGAGTTTAGGGCTTCAACATTTGAGTTTGGGGGTGACACAAATATTCAGAACATAAAATCACAAACACATATCTCAATAGTTACTTTTTGTATGCCAACTAGCATTACTGTATGGAAACACTGTTTACTTATATAAATATAGACAATTTATTTTCAAATAAAAAAGTAAAAAAATAACATCCTCCTGCTCTGATGTTCCTCACTCTTTAGTATACCCTGAGCAATCCCCAGCCTGTCAGAGTCATACTAAATTTTCAGTGTATCTTCATATGCATGGAGGCAATGTGGTATTAACTACTGCTCCACACCCCCTGTAAATACCATTTTTAACAACCTAAAGCTCATTCCTTTTTTTTTCTTACTGCAACACATATCTGTCAGGAGAAAGAAGCACCCTGTTTTCTGTTTGGTCTGTTAGACTCCACACTATTTTCCTGGGACCTCAACTCAGGCTCAAAGCATAATCCAGAGAAACAGACTTTGCAGTTCCATTTCATTTCATGTATCCAGTGAAATGTCCTCAAAGCTACACTGGAAATGCCAACTGAAAAGCACCTTTACTCACAAACCCTGATCCAGTATTCTCATCCTACCTCAGCTGATTTCAGATCTTCAGTTCAAAATCCATCAACTACTTTTGTTCTTTAGCTTTCAAAGGAAAAATACCATAAAATGGCCCCATATATACAAAATAGGTTATGGACAGATAGTTTCTCCAATTAATGATTTCTGATTTACTATTTTTCAGCATTATGATGGTGAAGAAGTGATATCCATTCAGTTAAAAATTATGTCAAATTGTGATCTTTCCCTAGGCTAATAATATGCAGTATGATAACTCACAAGATGCTAGGCAGCAGGATCAGGTCATAGCTTCAAAGAAGCCACACAATCAGGAAAGTGAGCAATTGGGACTCCACATTAGACTGTGCGGCTAAACAATCACATCTGGTAGGTTAGATATATTAAACATATATTTGTTTCAAATGTTTCAACTAATAACAAGTTTATTGGGACACAGATCCGTCAAGAACACTTCCACACAATCTCCATGAACACTTCTTTGATATCCTTTTTAGTTTTGGCAGATTTAGCAACAACTTTAGGATTTTTCCTCTGAATGTGTGCTCTGATGTCGAATCAGAGATGAGCTCCGACTATATGCCTTACCACATGTGCTACATTCATATGGTTTCTCTGAAGAATGACTTCTCTGATGTCGAATAAGGTCCGAGCCACTACTGAATGCTTTCCCACATTCATTACATTCATAGGGTTTCTCCCCAGTATGACTTCTCTCATGTAGAATGAGGGATATGCGCTGAGTAAAGGACTTTTTACATGTTTTGCATGCATAAGGCTTCTCTCCAGTGTGAATTCTTTCATGCTGCACAAGATGAGCACCCTGGCTGAAGGCTTTCCCACACTGCTCACATTCATAAGGTCTGTCTTCGCTGTGAATTCTCTTATGTCGGGTAAGAGATATCCGATGACTGAATGCTTTCCCACATTCTTCACACTGATAAGGCTTTTCTCCAGTATGAATTCTTTGATGTTCAGTAAGAAATGACTGGCGACCAAAAACTTTACTACATTTATCACACTTGAAAGGTTTTTCTTCTGAATGAATGTTCAGATGTACTTTAAGGTTTTTAATTCCACCAAACATCTTTCCACATTCTTTGCATGCAATGAGTTTCTTTTTCCTTTTATGAATTTTCTGGTGTTGAATAAGGGATGAATGCCGACTCCAGACTTTCTCACATTTATTACACTTATACTGCTTTTCCCCATTATGAGTTCTTAAGTGCAGAATAAGGGTCGAAGGACGTCTAAAGTCTTTCTGACATTTATCACATTTGTAGCGTTTCCCTGAAGTGTGAATTCTCTGATGAAGCATTAAGGATGAGACCCTACTAAAGGACTTCCCACATTTCCTACACGTAAAAGGATTTTCTAAATGGTGAGTTCTCTTCCTGAGACTCTGAATTAAGGCCTTCTTACTTTCATGAGTTTTCTTTCCAATACAAATTCTTTGATGTACAAGGACTTGCTTCTTTTTGAAGCCACTCCCATATTTATTGTATTTTTGTATTTTCTTTCTACTGTGAATTCTCTTATGAAGCAAAAGGGATGACATCCGACTGAAGGCTTTTCCACATTTTCTGCACTGGTAGATACTCTCAACAATGTGATTATTATGGTGTACACTGAGAGGTGTGCATGAACCTGAGGCCTTCCCGTTGTAAAAATTTTCCTTTCTATTATGAATTCTGCTGTGTATCATAAGAGTTAATTTTTTATTAAAAATTTCCCCACATTTATCACATTGATAGTTTTTATTCCGATTGTGCATGTTCTGATGAAGGATGAGGGATAAGATCTGCCTGAAAACTTGTCCACAATTACTGCATTCATAAGACCTCTCTCCAGTGTGAAAGTCTTGATGAAGTTTAAGGGATAAACGCCGAAAAAAGGTTTTCCCACAATCATTACACTTTAAAGACTTCTTGTCTGAATGTTCTTTCTTGGGTTTTCCTGGGAATGAAGTTTTGTCACGTTTTGTTTTCTCTGTGGGAACATTTTGTTGTGAAGAAACTGGTTTCTTACAGATGCTTTGCCCAGATTTGTTACACTGATTTGAAGGTAACTTCTTGGTATCACATTTAGATCCTGATTCTGAAAGACAGAATTAGTTCTTCTGTGCTGAAGAAATAAAGCTTGTATAATAAAAAGGGAGCCATTAAAATTAGTGATTATAACAACTCATGCTAACAAGAACAATGTCTTACTATATAGTCTCCATTACTATACTAAGATCTTGTGATAATTACTTTAATCATCAATGTGACAAAATCCAGAATCATCTAGGAAGGAGGGTCTCTGAGAATGTCCTAACTACCTTAATCCATGGTCGGCTGCACCATTACCTGGGCTTGGGGTTCCAGAGCAAATAAAAATGAGAAATCCAGCTGAGCAATGCATATATTAATTCATTTCTCTGCTCTTAACTAGATAAAGTGGGTTGCTTCAAGTTCCTGCTGCCTTAACTTTCCCTCAATGGAGTATAACCTAGAATTATGAACCAATAAATCCTTTTTCCTTTAAGTTCCTTTTTTTCTGGGTGTTTAATCACAGCAACTGTAGAAAGGGCTTTCCAGAAATGTTGTAAATGAAATTCAGGAAAGTTTTGAGTTTGAAAGTGAATAAATCAAGTTTTTATGTATGTGATATATTTTATGCCATATGCCACATTTAACTCCATAGATTGTTCATTAGTTAATTACATTTTACTATATGAAATGTCCATAAAAGGAGGAATATTTCCATGGAAATGTTAAGTGTTACTTGAGAATAAAGTGGAAATAGAAATTAACTGTAAATGGTAAGAGAGATATTACCTGTGTGATGAAAATCATCTAAAACTAGATTATGTTGACATCAAACTTTGTAAATTTGTAGAAAAAACAGATTGCACTCTATTTTTTTTTTTTTAAGAATAAGCTTACTATATTTCTTTCTTTTTCATGACAGGGTTTCTCAGTGTATCCCTGGTTGTCCTGAAACTTGCTCTGTAATCCAGGCTGGTCTAGAACTCACAGAGATCCATTGGCCTCTGCCTCATGGGTACTGAGATTAAAGACATCTGCTTGGCTGGATTATACTTTCAAACTGAGTGATCACCGCTGAGAAGTTATAAATTCTAAAAGCATATTCTTGAATATCAAATCCTTAAAACCACAAATACACTAACAATTAAGACTGAGCAGACATTTAAAACTATAAAAACTTTAAGCTTAGAGAAATGGGGTGAAATTCTAAGAAAACAAAGTAACATATTAAGCTAAAGAGAATGAATCTATTATTTAGTAAAATGGTCAAAATGGAGCAGAGCACATTGGTCCAAAATGGCTCAAAATAATTACTTGTGCTGATAAATGTGGTTGGTGTTATATCTGTAATCCCAGCAATTAGGAGGCTGAGGCAGGAAGATCCTGAATTCAAAGTCAGCTCAGCATATATGGTGAGCTGCAAATGAACAGAACAAAACACTATCTCAAAAATTTTTTAAAAAGTATCTTTAAAAGAATTTTTTCCTAAATAATAAAGTACTTACAAAGCAGATTGACTATCGACCTTAGTTTATTGGGCCACAATCAACACAGCATATACTTTAGAACTATGCTATCCATCATTGTAGCAATTAGTCATATGTACGATTGGGTACCTAAAATGTGGCTGGTATGATGTGGAATATGCTATGTGAGTATAAAATAAACATACCCAAAATTATGGATGAAGGGTTATAGCCAGCCTGAACATGGCAAACATGGCTTTGGCCCTTCCCTCATTCCCTATTTCTTGTAAACCGTTAGATTACATGCCTACAGCTAGCCATTAAGGTCTGTTTCCTTATTTGGCCCCTTATGTTGGAAGCAAGCAAAAGAAATTTATTCTAAGTACTGTCATTTTGTTTTCAGGACTCCATTTAATCATAGAGAGAAACCAAATCCAAGGTCCTAAGAGAGCTGGGGATTTCCCAATAGTTGAACAGCTTCTGTTGTAAGGAGACAGTTGTCTGAGTCCAGCCATTTCAAGGACAACTTCACCATCTTGCTGGCAAAGTCAGTTAAGTTCATGTTCCCAGGCCCAGGAGCCTACTCCTATCCTGACTGATGGAAACTTCCTTGCTCAATCCTTATGTCAAAATATGATTGGACAATGCTACAGGCTACCCTGCTCCCCCTTTCTTTACGGTGTATTTAAAATATGCTGTACAATGTTCCTTCAGGGTCATAGTTCAGCTCCTGAGTCTGTCTTACAGCCTTGATTGATCAGTAGCAGCCTGAGTACAATAATTTTGTCACCTGCATTGTCCTGGAGTTTAAGTTATATTGGATTTAAGTGGACCCCATAACAATTTCCTCTTCCTGAGGCTACCAAGGTCCAGCTATCAACATTTTGAAGTCCAGCAATCAAAAGGCCCTTTTGGCTATTTTAACTAACATTCCCAATCAAATTTAAACACCTCATCCTAACACGTGGTTTCCCCCTTGTACCTTTATAAACTGCCTTTTGCCTATGGGCACAGCTGTCTCCTCTCTATCCATAGGCATCAATAAAAAACAAGCGAGGCAAAGTGGTGCACACCTGTAATTTCAGCACTGAGGGAGGCAGAGGCAGGCGGATCTCTGTGAGTTGGAGGCCAGCCTAGTATACAAAGCAAGTCCGGGACAGCAAAGGCTACACAGAGAAACCATCTCGGAAAAAAAATCAACAATAACAACAACAAAAATAAACACAAGTTTTCTGGAATTTTCCCTAGACTCCTTCCTGGTTCCAATCCTATTGGTTTTCCTTTAAGTTTTTGTTTTTTATGTATATGTGTGTGTGTCTGTGTGTGGGCATGTTTGTATAAGTGTAGGCACATGAAGAGGCATGTTGGATCTCCTGGAGCCAGAGTTAAGGGTGCCCACCCAATGAAGGTGCTGAGACCCAAACCCAGCTCCTCTGGAAGGACAGTAAGCTTTCTTAATCAGTAAGATGTTTCAATAGACACTTATCTTTTTCTTTGTGTCTTCATTTACGGATGACCTCTCCTTTTCTTGTATTGAATATTCCTTCAGTTCATCTCCCTGTTTCCAAGATGGGAATCTAAACCACAGCATATGCTAACGTTAATCCCAGTGATGTCATACAAGCCTGAAGGCCTGAGTTACATCCCTGAAACCTACACAAACTTGGAAGGAGAGACCCATTTCCTCAACGTTGTCCTCTGACCTCCATACAAACACTGTGGCATGCACATGCCCATACAATAGAACATAAAACACACACAAATAATAAAAGCATTAAAAAAACAAACTAAAATAAAGCAGGATGTATTCAAAATTCTAGAAGGCAGATGAATGTGTACACAGAACAAGAGAAATTACGAGATAGGGTCAATGTGTTCAACCATGTGAAAATACCTTAGAGATAGCACAGCTAGTAAAGGAACTTGCTTCTAAGTCTGAGGACCTTAGCTTGATTTCGGGAAAGAGAGAATCAAATCCCATGCATTGTCATCTGATGTTCACAAGGCATCCATATGCCTATCCACCAAGACACTCTCATGAATGCACACACAGAGTTAAGAAACAAAACCTTATGCTGGAGACATGACTCAGTGGTTAAAACACTTGCCGTATAATCTTAAGAAACAGAATTTGGATTCCCAGAATCCAAGTAAATTATAGGTTGTCACTGTGGCCTGTCTGTAATTCCAGCCTCAGGTTTGTAGATAGGTGATCTCTCGGCAGTCTGGCTAGCAAGACTAGCTATAATGCTGTGGATTTAGGTCTAATTGACAGACTCTGGAAGATTGATGGAGGATGATTCTTGACTCTAACCTCAGGTCGCCAAATGCACCTACACACATGCCTACACACATGCAAACATGCATGAGTGTACATGTACAATGCATGCACATGTGTGTGCAATACACACACAAAGAGAAAGACAGACAGAGAGGTAGGCAGACAGAGAGAGAAAAAATGGAAAAAGAGAAAAAAGTTTTAAAAATCCCAACTTTCTATAATCAAACAGAAAATAAGAAATAAAATATGCTTCTTTATAGAATGGGAAAAAGTTTTTGTTTTAGTTTTGAGGGTTTTTTTGTTTTATTTTGTCTTTTTGAGACAGAGTCTCACCATGTAACTCTGGTTAGCCTGAACTCAAAAGTGTGTTCTCAAACTCAGATCCACCTGCATTAGCCTCCTGAGTGTTGGGACTAAAGCTGTATAACAACACATTGGCCTTTTAGATCTATATTTAAAGTCAAAATTCAAACCGCCAGGGCTCCAATTCTCACCCCTTGGTTCCTCAACAGATCTAAGCAAGTTATTTAACCTGTGTTGTAATCCTCTCAAATAGGAACAACAGAGATTTCCACAAGTACTGGAGAGAGTAAGTGAGAAATTAACTTACAGGCCTTAGCAAAGAACCTGGACACAGCAAGAACTCAATTAACTGGTTGTCATCAATTTAATGAGACAATTTTTATTTTCATAGGCACTGTTGATTGAGCCCAGGCTCTAGGCAAGTGTTCTGCCACTGAGCTGTCCCCAAGCCCTTCAGAAAAAACAAAAACAAAAACAAAGCAAAACAAACAAACAAACAAAAAAAACAAACGAAACATTTCTTCTCATGTCAAGATGAAAATGGAACCTTCCATTTTCATTGTGCTGACATCTCCTATCTCTCTCTCTCTGATTTTTTTTGAGACAGTTTCTCTGTGTAGCCCAGGATGACCTTGAACTCACAGAGATCCATTTGCTTCTGCCTCCCAGTGCTGGGATTAAAGGTGGGCGCCACCAATGCCCAGCAGATTAATCTCTTGATGGATTCCTTATTGAGAAGTGGTGGAAAGCAAGAAGTTGGATCTAGATGGAGGAAGTAGGTCATTAGAGATGTGCCTGGAAAAGATATCCCTCATCCACAGCCCTGTCCTGTTCTCTCCTCTTTTTAGCTACCATGATGTTGTGTTGTCCTTGCTCTACATTTCTAAACACAATGGTCCCAGTCAACACTGGAATGAATTCTCTGAAACCACAAACCAAAATATACTTCTTTGTCTTTTTATGCTGTATTTACACTTGTATTTGTCAGTGACTGGAAAGTGACACACACTTAGAAGTTGGCAGTCACTGAAGGTTGCTCATCAGTGGCCTTTGTTTATAGCTCATACCTAGCTCCTGGTATGATGATCTACAGAAAAAGTCAATGAGTGCTCCTTTAAAGACTCAAATTAGGCCAGGTGCAGTGTCCTGTGTCTGTAATCCCAACATTCAGGGAGGCAGAGGCAGGCAGATCTCTATGAGTTCAAGGCAAGCCTGGTCTACAAAGTGAGTCCAGGCTACAGAGAGAAACTCTGTCTTGAAAAACAAAACAAACAAACAAAAGATTCAAAATAAGTGATGTTTAACTGGAACAACCAAAGAGGAATTTATCCACAAAGGGAACAAGTCACTGAAGGGAGCCAAAAAAAAGTTACAGAAGAGATGAGTACTTCTTAAGGGATGACATCATGCATGTAAGAGCATTATCACAATGAGTATTGTCATCGCAGAGGTCAGCTGATACCTTTTCTGATGGGAAATAAGAAAACAGTCATAGGGTGTTAGACGGAAGGAGAGTAAAGACCCGAGCTTCTTGATACAAAGGCAGACTGACTTCCGGTTCTGGGTCTGCCAAGTGACTGGGATTCTTTGGACAGCAGTGCCCCATTCATCGCTAAAGCAACAGTACTATTTCCACCTTCTACAGCATTGCTGGGATGAACCTGTGCCTCAAAGCACACATGACACCAAGTACAGACTAAATGTTGGTTATTCTCACCCTAAGGACATATACTGAGAACTGACCTGTTCAGGTGTGAGGCTTTGTCAAGTGTAGTAAGGAGCTCTCAAGTAACATCTCAAAGAGAAAGCCTCCTCCTGATGGTTTAATACAAATATGAAGCAGATACTATTGTTTCAGGAAATGAAGCTGGAACTTAAATGCCCACTATGAACTGAGGTTTATTAGTAGGAAAGGTTGAGAGACCAAGATCAGGCCTTGAGGCATGAAGGAGAGTATTGGATAATAAAAGGTTTAATGTATGGAAGAGTCAAATGTGATCTGGGGTCTTAAAGGGAAGGAGAGCCTTAAAAAAAACCTGGAGAGGAGCTTCTTTTATTTATTGATGTATTTGTTTGTTGAGACAGGATTTTTCTATATAGCCTTGGCTGTTTTGGGTTTGCTTTGTAGACCAGACTGGTCTCAAACTCACAGAGATCCACCTGCCTCTGCCTTTCTGAGTGCTGGGATTAAAGGTGTGGACCACCTCATCTAGCCAAGGAGCTTCTTTTAAAGTGAGAAAAAGACAGGAAGAGAACACTGAAGGAGGGAGAAGGAAGGAGTGAGAAAGGAGAGAGAGAGAGAACACTTATATGAAGACACCCTGAGACAGGAGATGCATGGCTGGGAGGAGACCATAGGAGCCTTTTCCCCAGAGCAACCTTTAAAGGACTTCCTCAACCACAGGAAATATCTGACTTTTATAATATTTCATGGAGTACTAGCATACATGGTGAGGGCTCTTGGGACTCAAACAGGATTTAGGGTTGGAGTCTTCTGGCTAAGATTAGTGCTCCCTCAACCCTCCTACCCAACGTCAAGGCACTATCTATGAATCTGGAAGTGGGTCTTCACTACATACTATATCTTCTAGAGTCTTCCTCTTAGGATTTCCAACTCTTAAGATTGTGTAAGATAAATTTCTGTTGTTTACCAATAGCCCAGAGTATATACTCCTTTGGTGTCTTTCACAGCTTGAATAGTAAGACTTAGGCCTTGGTTCTCAGTCACTCACCAGGGCCTCGGCGCCATCTTGATGGCTCGGCCACACATGGTGCTTTACCTTTCTCCAACAAGGTGATGATATTTGGTCTCCGGGAGGCAAGACCTGCACATGGGACAAATATGGGAACCAATCATTATATGAGACACCACTGAAATCAGCCAAGCTAGTGTTAATAAATTATGGGTTTATCATCACAGTGGGAATACACAGAATGTGAGGGGCAGCTGCAGAATGGAAGTAGGATAGGAATGAGAGTAGACATGGTGATTTTTCTTTTTTTTTTTTCTTTTTTGGAGGGGGCAGTTCAAGACAGGGTTTCACTGTATAACCCTGGCTGTCCTGGAACTCACTCTGTAGACCAGGCTGGTCTTGAACTCAAAGAGATGGGCCTGCCTCTGCCTCCCGAGTGCTGGGATTAAAGGTGCGTGCCACCAATGTTCTGAGGACATGATTATTTCTGAGAAATGTTAGATTCATGATTCCTGGCACAAAGGTCATAAAGTGGTGTTTTCCATATGCTAATGAGATAGCAAGAGCACATGGGTGCCTAAGGATTACACAGAGAAATTAACAGTGATTGGAGCTTTGGCCTTCGTCCTGTCCCCTAACTTCACAAGAGAGCTTGTAAGACACTAGAGAATGATCAATCAAACCAATAGGATGAAGCTTTTATAAGCCCACAGGAAGGGTTCAGAGAACATCGAGGTTGCTTGAACAGGTAGGGAGTAGCATTCTTAGGGCATGCAGATACTCCACTCTTTCCCCAGAATCTCTTGACATATCTCATCATCTGCAGCCTCTACAGTGTCTTTTATGCTAAACTAGTAAACTTAAACACATACCTGAGTTCTCTCAAACCTGGAAGATGGGCAGTTTTAGGGTCCCCCCAACCTACAGTTAGTTGGAAACTCCCTGAATTTGTGAATGGTATCTGAGGTAGGGATGGTCTTGTGACACTGAGCCCTCTATCTGTGGATTTCACACTGACCCAGGTAGGCAGTGTCAGGATTGCAATGTTTTCCAGATATTCAGGTATTCAAGTAAGAACTGTTTACTGTTGGGATAACCTCTTTCCTCTGATGCCAGACTATTCTTGGCTGAATGGTGAAATATGAGAGTTGGTTTAAAATTTTTTAACACAGAAAAAATGAAAACGAAGTTATATACAGTAGTGTTGTTTACCTATAAAATAAATTAGGTTTCTGAACATAGGGTCAGATGCTTTTTTTCAGCTCTAAATTACCATCATTCCATGATCCACTGGTATGTTGGACCTCCATTCAAGGTTCTGAGGCTAGTGAAAGTATGTGTATTAAGTAAAAAGCAAGTAATGTATACATTACTATATGTTAAAATAACTATAATTGTTACACACACACACACACACACACACACACACACACACACACAGTAGCTTAGACCCACTGAGGATTTACAAAGGCAAAGAATTTAATCTCACATGGCCTTAAGCTCTGCAATCTAAATGTCTCCTTTGCCAGCTTTGCCAGTTGGGGTTCTATTTCAATTTCCAGTTTTCTTTTAAACCCACCCCTCCATTCAACAAACTCAACTCATATAAACAAACCAGACAGTACACCTTCTTCTGTCTCAGAAATCTGAATTCTAGCTTTGTGGGTTCTTCCTCCCAGTCTTAAAAAAGTTATCAAACTCCCCATTCTCTCCATAGCCTTTGAGATGGTAGCTGCATCTCTATAAGCTTCTCAGTGACATAGGGCGGGGGGATGCTGAGGCGATGACTTAGAGGTTAGGAGCAATGGCTGTTCTTGCAGAAGGCCTGGACTTGGTCCCTAGCACCCAGTGGTGACTCACAACTGCTGGTGACTCGAGTTCCATGGGATCTAATACCTTCTTCTGGCTTCCATAGACACCAGGCATACACAAAGTGCATATACATACATGCAGGCAAAACACTCATACACATACAATAAAATATATGAATCATAAAAGTACTTTCTAAATAACCTACCAATTTTATTTATAAATATATAACCAAGAGAAATAAAAACAGACACCTCAAAAACCTGTTCATGAATGTTTACAGAAGTAATTTATTAAAAGTAGAACAACATAAATACCCACTGGTTAATGAAAGATAAATGAAATGAAGTTTAGCTATACAATGTAATCATTCAACAATAAATCAGAATAAAGTACTGATATGTGATGCAACAAGGATGAACCTCAAAACATTATCCTAAGTGAGAAAAGGCCATACAGTTATAATTCCATTTCTATATAAGACTCAGATTAGCAAGTCCAAAGAGAGAGAACAAGGGGTAGGGACTGCCCACTCAGAGGATGGAGAGACATGGGAAATGAATTGCTCTTGATCACAGGGTTTCTTTGGAGAGTAATGAAAATTTTCCAAAATTGATCATAGTAACTGATGTCTAACTCTGTGACTACAATAAAAACAAATAAACAAACAAACAAACAAAAAGACTGTGTAATTTAGAAACAGACACACACACACACGCACAAAACCCCAATTTTAAAAATGCACACAACTTAAGTGTCTTCCCTTTTCCTGAATAGACCCTTACTGATATATGCCCTTTATAAATTGGTTCTAGATTATGACACACACACAGACACATAGACACACAGACATACACAGGACACCTTACCAAGTGAGACCAGATTCTGATAATTCTCCAACATGACATCTCTGTATAAATCCTTCTGAATGGGACTCAGCCATTCCCATTCCTCTTGAGAGAAGTAGATGGCTAAGTCCCCGAAAGTCACTGGTGCCTGAAATTAAAAAAATTACAAGTCTATTCAATCATGAGCTTCAAAAGTTCTTTCTGCATAGCTGGAGAAAACGGTGACTTTGGGAGAGGTAAAGTGACAGGGGTTCTGAGACCAAAAGAGTGGAGTTATTCAAATAACATAACAGTGTAATAAGATAATACATCTGTTATTAAAGATGATGCTTCATTTAAAAAAAAAAAACAGCAATCTGGACTTACTGGTTATAGTGTCAAGGCATTTTTCTCGAAGGACCTAACTATACCGGTTCACTCAGTACCCAGCCTTAATAGTAGTAAGACACTGACAAGAGGACTGTAGTGATATGTAACCCTGAGAAAACTAAGAACTAAAACGGTAAATTATTGCAGTTCACACAATTCCTAAATAACAGAGCTGGGATTCAATCATGCAGTCTGGCTCCTTTCAAACTAAAAACTGTTCATCAATCAGTTTATCCATGGTTCATCACAACACAGAAATATGTTGTGTGTGTGTTCATTTGGGTATGTATATGTGTAATGTAAATGTACGCTAATGCACATGAAGGACAGAGGTTTGACAATCAGTAAATTCCTCAACTGTCCTGCGCCTTGTTCTTTGATACAGGGTCTCTCACTGAGTCTGGAACTCACCAATTCCAAAAGACTGGTCAGACAGTGAGATCAAGGGATCAAGGGATCTCCCCTCTCCACCTCCCCAGAAGAGAGCTTACAGGTGTATATTATTGAACCTAGACTTTTTGAACACTTATTTACCTATTTATGTTTGTATGTGGGGAGGTAGGGAGCATGTGCCATGGTGCAGAGTGGACGTCAGAGGACAACTTGGAGAATAAGCTGATTTTCTTCTTCCACAATCAACATCATGTGGTCAGACTTGGTGGTTGGTACCTTTACCTGTTGATCTTCTCACTGGCCAGCACCCAGCTTTTTAAAAATGGGATCCTAACCTGATCCTCCTGCTTGCGTGGCAAGCACTTTACTGCCATCTTCCTCAGCTCCAGGAAAACTTAACTTACATACAGTACCTAGGTCTTGCTCTGGGTTACTTGACTATTGGTGTTGCTCCCATGAAAATGGGGAAAGGGAGCACATGTACAAAATGTGAAAACAAACTGAAATTCGTTAATAACGAACAGACCTGGAAGAGGACCTAAGCCTCTAATGAAAATATAGCGAATCAACAATTTGATTTTGGTCCTGGGAAACCCAAGCTAAGGACCCAACTGAACCATGTTGTGGCTGAATCCTTACCAAGTCAGAAGTAACAGGAAATGCATGCTGACATACAGTTTTTTGGGCAGCAAGAGAGAACAAATACATTTAACTGATGAAATGTATTTTGTTAGTTTAAAACAGGACCTTGTGTATCCAAGGCTGGCAGAGAACTCTTGATGTAGCCAAAGATGACCTTGACCTCTCCAGTCTTCCTGTCTCTATCTCCTACATGATGAGGTCATAAGCATCCTTTACCAACACAGTTTATGGGGCTTAGGGGACTGAACTCAGGTTTCAATCTTAAGCAAGCAGTGGAGTAACTGAACAATATCCCCAGACTAAGAAAATGTGTTTCTTCTAAGAAACTGCCCTTGAGTTGTTGTGACACTCATCTGATCATCTTCCAGGAGAAGCAGGTTAGCCATAAGGCTGGTGAACCTCACTTTTCCATTTCTAAACTATATTCCTTATCTTACATCTTAACCAGGCAAACCTCTTCATGTGAGAATTGGTTTTAAGGAAAAACAAAGTGATACAAATGGACTGATCTGGCACAAAAAGAAACTACAGAACTCTCATAGTCTTTTGGGGAGGGCATCTCTGAGTACTGCAGAGCCCCTACAAATGTGAATGGACTGTGAATGGTCATGTGAACACTGAAAAGAGTGGGCATGGGAGAACATCAGGTGTCACATATCAGTCTCCTTATAGGCAGGAAACCTCCAGAAAGAAGATATTCACTTCTTATAAGACAGATAGACTCTTCCAGAGTGGGGGTGGGGAATGGAGGTGGGAGTGTGACCACTTACCTTGGATTTTGGTTTCCCTTGTACTATAGGCATCCTTTCTCCCACCTTTGATGGCCCACATTCAGAGACTGAGGCAGAGCACTGGCAGAAAAGAGAGATCATGAAGCTCAATGGCTTTTGAAGTGGTCCTGAAGTCCTCAGTACCCAAGCACCTCTCCACAGGCCAAGGCACCTGGAACATTGTTAGCCCCATCTCCCCTTTTGGGCAGGAAGGGAATCACACAATACTGTCTGTTCCTATGATCACAGTAGGTTCCTGGTCAGGTGCAGATACCTGCCCATCCATCTGACAGGCTGGTGATGGCAGGTGCCAGGCAATCCAATGAAAGTTAAAGCAGGAAAGTTCCTGTTCTCACGTACTATTTGTTCAGGCAGAAAAGACAAGTCCATAGGGCATGCAGTGATTTCGGGTCAAAAGCAGTGATCATTACTGTTTCATTCACTGCCCTACTCCCAGAGCTACCACACCCAGAGAAGCTGCATAACAAAAAGCATGTGCTGGGGCTGGGAATATAGCTCAGTTGGTAGAGTGAGATTGCCTAGCATGCACTAAGCCCTGGGTTCCACATCCAGCATAACATAAACTGGGCATGGTGGTGCATGCATACCCTAGGGGGTAAAACAAGGACCAGCAGAGAAGACCAGAAAATGACACAGTAGTCAGGAAAGGCCTCTGCGAGGTCTGAGTGTGGTGAGGATGTGAACCATAGGGATGTCTGCTTTCCACGTAGAACCAAGGCCCTGTGCTAGGCATGGGCTTGATGTGTAGAGTGATATAAAAAGGCTGTGGGTAGCCAGAGTAGGTGGGGAGAGGGGCTGGGAGTGTGTGTGGCACACACCTTTAATCCCAGCCAGGGCTACACAGAGAAACTCTGTCTATAACAAAACAGAACTCCAACTCTCCCCACACACACAAAAATTAGGCTGTGTGCTAAGACAGTGTGAGGCAAGGAAGACTGGTGGAACCAGATCAGGAATTGGATGGTGAGCAGTTTCTATATGAGATAAACTGGGGGAAAGGTGAGAGGAACTGAGCAGGAGAGAGACTAATCAGTCTTCCTACTTAACAAAATTTGGAGATGGCTGCATGGCCGTGGAGATAGCACACGGTGTGGTATCGTCATTAGGCATCTATATAAAAACATGGGTTAAAATGTGGCCAGCATAGACTAAGGAACTCCCTTTACCCATCTGTCTACAAGAGTATCCATCCAGAATTTAAAAAATCACTTCCTGAGGCTGAGGTTGGGTGTGGTAGCAACATGTCTTTAATCCCAGCACTCAGGAGGCAGAGGCAGGTGGATGGATCTCTGTGAGTTTGAGTCCAGCCTGGTCTACATAGTGAGTCCAGGACAGCCAGGGCTATTACACAGAGAAACTGCCTCAAAAAGCCAAAACAAAGAAATCACTACATGGCTGAAATTAGTGATTGTTAAAATGGCTGATTTTGATTTTTTAAGTACAGTTCCCAAGTTCTTTCTACTATTTAGTTGTCACACTTGTCATTTACATTGGACAACAGGTGTTATGAAATGTAATGTTGTGAGAGGGTACTATGGCAAACCCAGGCCAACATGTGCCCCTGAGAAATTATGCCATGCAACATATCTGGTATAAAGCGGGTCTACTGGGGGAAGGGAGACGAGTGAGGACCGGGACAGGGTAGAGACAGCAAGTGAGCCATGAGTGCAGAGAAGAAGGGGGGACACAGAGAAGGACAGAAAGGGGAGAGAGAGACCGTGGGAACAGAGAGTGAGCTGGGGTGGTGGGCAGTCCTTCTATCCTGCCCACCCGTGGCAGCAGCAGGTCATGATGTAAGCAAGTGCTAGGCCCCTGAGGGAAGGCCTGCACATTAACAGCAGGGATGTTGACTAATTCAGGATGGAGACTCTATTCTGGTTAGTGTCTTCCTGCTCAGTTCCTCTCACCTTTTCCCTGATTAGATTTATTGTTTAAAAGATGAATAAGTCCTTAGTTCAGATAAAGCTTTGGAGCTGTTAAATCTGGGACAATTTGTCACAGCAGCAACATTACCTCCTGTTTCTTCCTTTTTAGATTATAGACCAATGAATGGATTTGCTTCTTCTGTCTCAGTGACCAACACTGAAAAAAACTGATGAAATGATGATGATGGCGGCAGCCATCCAAGAAGGTCCCTCCAAAAGCACTCTGTGATACACTTGCCATGTCTCTTTTTTTCTTTTGAGACAAAGTCCCACAGTGTAGCCCTGTCCTAGAATTCTATTTGTAGATCAAGCTAGACTTGAACTCACAGAGATCCACCTGCCTCTGTCTCCCAAGTGCTAATGTGTGCTAGCATTAAAGGTGGGCCTTCTGTGCCCATCCCATCCCACTCCCCTCCATTTTCTCCCTCAAGCCAAGCTACTCTGATGAGGAAGACACCTAACACGTTCCACAGGTCAGGGTAGGCTGTGCTTTCCCCTCAGAAACGTACTTGGGCAGATACTGTGAAGGCAGGTGCTTGCTTAGGGATAAAAATGGTGGGGGATGCACACTGCTCAAACCAGAACCTCTGTTAGAGGTGGAAAGTGGCCAAATTCTGAATGCACGCACATAAATTCCTTTGGGATTCACCACTGCAACCCTACCAGTACATAGGTCAACAACAAACACTAAACCCCCACTCTCAGCTCTACAACAAAGGCCAGACCCTACACTGCACTCCGACCGTCCCAGGCATTACACAGGACATTTCACCTGTTATTTAGCCTTTCCATCAAAACTCTGACGGGGGCTATTTATCCTTTTGTACAGAGGCAAAGTCTCATCCTTAACAGGTTCAGTTTCCCAGAGTAGGCCATCATGGCTCCTCCTCTAGAGCAGCCTGTTGCCACAGTAACAAATGAGCTAAGCACAATCAATCACACACTGGTACAAAGCCACTGTCAATATGGTGGTGTACAGTATCTCTAGATTGATAAAACAGCTTCATCAATCTCCGTCTCTCTCTCTCTCTCTCTTTCTCTCTCTCTCTCTCTCTCTCTCACACACACAGCTAGCAACAATAGAGATGCTCAGAACTGAGTGCTCACACCTACACTCATGGCCCCCTCCAATCTGCGGTGACATTCTTTTCCCACTACGCCACTAATCAGTTCCTGTACATTCACCACCTGTTCCTAGGCCCCACCGGCCTAGCGCCCCCAGATTATGACAGACAGCTCCATCAGTCTGTCACACTCGCACACAGTACAGCTGAGATGCTCAGAACTGTTATAAGCAACATGTTTCTTGGGGCTCACAGGCCTAGTCATTCTGTCAGTCTCTCCCTCCCTCTCTCTTCTCTCTCTCTCTCACACACACATGCACACGTGGAGTGGCCTGAAGGATCCTCACTCCGTGTCCGCCCCACAAGACATGCCAAGCCAACACGAAGTTGCACGGCATGCACTCGAATCACCTCAGACACACACACACACACACACACACACACACACACACACACACACACA